AAGATATGGCTTATCTTGTTGACAAAATTAGTGGTGCGTGTTGCCGCTACTACAAGAAGACGTTTCTACAATAAGTAGCCCAAGCTCAACTGCTCAAAGTTTTTGATAATTGTATTCGAGCAGATGGACATAATAAAAAAAATCAATTTGTTTCATCATTAAGTATAGCAATAATTATTTCGATTATTAGTTTAACCAGAAATGAGTAAAATAAAAATGATATTCTTGTGAAAATCATCCGTAATCGCATTTTTGTCAATCAAGAAACGTTCACTATAAACCGATATAACCCAGAAAAGAGTTGAATAAATAAGTTCGAGTAAATAACAGAAAAGTTTATAAATATCATGTACTGTTGAGTGCGAGTGATTTCAAAGTAAATGCAATTGATTTATATTTTCGACGCGACGCTCAGCTCTTAGTAGGCGATTATTCGATTAAAATCTACTTGATCCCATACTTTGACTAGTTTGATTGGAAGTACTCAGACTAACTTTTTTTTCAAATAACATCCTGTATATGTCTCTAGCCTATCTTATTCGCCTTAAAATTTTTTATTCAACTATTTATCACAATTTGATATTCGCTCGGATATTCCCTCGGATATTCCTTTATTAATTGGCTGTTAAATTACATTTTATTGAATCACATGAATTCGGCTCTGGCCCGAATACAATAACATTTCGATGCTTGATAGGCTTAGAAATTTAAGGATCATTACTTAGACGATATTATCAGAATATTTTCCATACCCTAATCGGTCCCAGAAGATTGTCAATAATTTCATTGAGTTTAAAACAATCATCTAAAAATAACTCACTATATTGAGAAAATTAAAATAGAAACTTTTTTTTTTCATTTGGCTACTTGCGAGGCTACTTGTGAAAAAACTAATTGTCTTTCATTTTTGTCATGTAGCAATAATATGATCATTCATTTGGATACATGAAACTGAAATTGTTATAATAATTGATGTATGGTCCTAATACATCTGTTCATAAGTCTACATTGGTGTATATTTTCAGTATCATTTCGCTTATCAAATTGTGATACATAGTTGAATAGAATAAGAAAGGCTACAGAAATATACAGGATGCCATTTGAAAAAAAAGGGGTCTAAGTCTCGGTCTAAGTACTTCCGATCAAACAGGTGGTTGAAGAAAATTGTCATTGGGTTCAAGGGAAGCGCCATCATCGATAATATAACCCTTGTGAATCTCAAATTTCTGTTACATGTCTCATGTGTCACCTGGTATATCAGCAAATATTCATTTCCTCCCATGTGTGTTTACACATCAAATTTCACACGCGGGAGGAAATGGATATACCCGAGGATATACCTATCTTTCCTCCCTTGATAAAGAATTAACCTCGTAAATAGCTATATTAAAATATAAAGAGCTGGGTATCCAGCTCGGTATCCAGTCCACTTTTCTGCACCTCGTTCCGCACTCATTTTATTAGTGTTGAGCCGAGTGTTGAGCGATGTTGAGAGTCACTAGTGCGGAAAAGTAGTTTTGTTTATTTTTTTGGGAGTAAATATAGTGACATTTGATTAGTTAATAACGAGTTTAATAATAATAACTCAAGTAATAACTGTTTATTTATGTTAACTTTTGGGTTTTTTCTGCACGCCATAGTAGAAAAAAATATAGTGTGCCTAGCATGACGTGCGTAAAGTGACTTCACGAACTTATTAGGCAAACCCTCGGGCAAATCACTATTATGAAAAAAAAATCTCAAGAACATTTGTCAAGAAATGCTTCCGCCTCTTTTCAAATAGTACATCCTGAAGATGGCGCTTTTTTCTCAAATTTTGCAGATTTTTCAAAACCGTTCATTCAAATCATGACATCAGGTACATCGCATGAAATTTCGATGTTGAATCAGAATTTGAGCTCTGAAATGTGTTTATATAAGGGCGAGGTTAAGCTCGAGGTTAAGGCGAGGGTCTCGGCGAGGGTTAAGGGTAAAAAACGGGTAAAAACAATCCCATTTTATGATATCGCTAAAGGTATTTTACGTAGAAAAGTTACCCTTACTTCAAATTGATAAGGATAGTTTTTTTTCGTTCTTTTTTATAGAAAATCGCAAAATTTTAATTCTCTAAATCCCACCTCGGATCGCATCCCACACTCGATCAGCACCCTGTGGAGACGGGTTTCTCTCGGAGTTTTTCTCAATATTTTTCAATCCCCTCACACTAAAATATTAAAATTTGGTAATAAGTATACTGCATAAACTTTTCACGCTGTTTAACACCAAATTATAGATTCTGAGCTAAATATTTTGAAATTTTTATCAGAGGCAGAGACAGAGGCGTATCAAACAGAAGTAGTTAGGGGTAAAAACTCGGGTAAAAACAACCCAATTTTTTGTGGCAATTAAGGTAGATATATGGGTATCACTGTGATAACATTTTCTCGAGAATAGCCCCAACCTCGGCCCCAACTAAAACAAGAATAACTTATTTTTCATCCGAAAATTCTTCAAGAGAATTCAATGCCCAAATCTGAAGGCGAGTCTATATATATATAAAGGCAAAATGTCCGAATTAAAAACTCTTATATTTATTAGTTACAATAGGTTCATTCAAACACTGAGAAAGCTGAAATAACGACAAAATAATAAAGATAATAAAAATCGTGATAAAAATAGATAATATAGGTATCAAAAAAATATACAAAGGACATAAATAAGTAGGTAATTATACCTAGGACTCCTAGGAGAAAATACTAACCTTCCTGTTTCCTCACACAGATCATAAATATCATCGAAAAGGACTTCTTCTTCCGTCATTTTGGAAATGTGATGATTTGAACATGCAAAAATCATCAAAGCTCAATAACCAGCGCGAAATCAACAAGAATTTCAAACAAACCACCCGAACTATAATGTTGACATTTGTGAAAACAGGCAGGTCACTTATTATTCATCACTCAGCGAGCACCTCGAGTGGGTGAGGCTACGTGCACCGCAAATTATGCAAGAAAAACACACTTAACCGCATTTGGTGTTGCCTAAAATCAGGCGTCAAGGTACACGCAGTTAACCGGTAATCTTTAACATGGCTGCACCTTACGGGAAACAGCCACTGCGTACCTGTTTCTTCACACACAAACTTGGAACGAAACGTGTCGGCGTAAATAATTACGGCAACGTATCACAATCACACGTGAGGTCGATTCGGTTCAATTCACCGGACCGTACACACCCTGAAGACCTCACATTAAAGCAAAAGCCAGCGAGACTGACGGCAATGAGCAATGACAGGCGCCGGGCCTTTCTTCGCCACTCACACATGCGCTGCGCATTTTTGATTCCTCAGAAACGCATTATTTCCGAATTTTTCCGAAATATCAGCCGTAAACGATGGAGGTTTCGAAAAAACCATTAGTTCTGATCGGCCCACTTGATCGAGATGCTCTATGCTTGATAGGATTGTTTGTTGTTCGAGTTATGTAAAAATGAGATAAGCTCATGAGTCATGGGCGTACAAATAATTTTTCGGAGGGGCCATTTTAAAGCTTGTACATGAAAACTTCTGATGAACATATCACTTAATAAGCATACAATGGGCTTTCATTACATATCACTCACTACAAAACAAATTTTTTTGAGTAGTAAAAGAACTATATTACTTTATATACCTATAAGTATACTTCCGTCTCACTTTTAGTATATTCGCTGTTGAAACTTTCAATAACGAAATGTGTAGATGGATAGGTACCAACTTATAAATGGAATAGCCATGAGTCGGCTTCTATACCTTCTATCTTTGGTGAGACACAGAATGTCATGAAGTAAACAATACATAATAAGCAAGAATCAAATAAGTATTAAAGTGAATTTATTCATGAATTTTTGATAACAAATACATACTCATCAATTTTCTGTTTTGATGAGTCAAGAGTTGGTTTAGGTAAAAAATTGCCATAGGTACCATAAATAATAAATGCTGGAATTTTAGTATCTATCCTGATTATAATTGTAAGTAGTTTGATGAGAACATTTATTGAGTGCAGTCATTTTTCATAACAAGTACTTATATTGGTAAAACTGCATTTAGCATGCGATGGGTTTTTTTTCGAAAATTTTTTTTGGTACTTACGTATTTTTGTCTGAAAAACACGAATTTGATAATGAAAATGTGAACAAACCACTATTTATCGAGATATTTCAAAAAAAAGTTCGAAATTTCGACTCCTTTTTCCCCTTGCGTTGGATGCATTTTCAGGTACTTGCTCTTCTTATTTTGTCATTGGACACTTTATATACTCATGATGTACTTCAATGACACATTTTTATACAGAAAATTCAACAGGAAATATGATTTTTATGGTGAGTTTTTCCTATTTAGTGAGCAAGCATACCAGATGACGGCCATTTTATCCATAGGCAATCCAAATACGAGATGTCAAATGTCAATAGATTGCTTTGGAATGACATTACACACGCCATTATTTCAAATGATATTCTTCCTTCTTTTCAATAAATATGGATAAATCACAAGAAAATCATATTTCTAGTTGACTCAATAATAGAAAAAAATGTGTCTTACATTGTGATATATATAAATTGACCAATGATGAAAAAAGAAGGGTGAATTGTTTAAAATTCAATCCAGAAGACAGGCGGAAAAGAAGGTGAAATTTGAAACTTTATAGTGAAATATCTTGATAAATAATGGTTTGTTCACATTTTCATTATCAAATTCGTGTTTTTCAGACAAAAATACGTAGGTACCAAAAAAAATTTTTGGAAAAAAACCCATCGCATGCTAAATGCAGTTTTACCCTTATATTATTCAGTTAAAACCTGGGTTAATAACCACATTAACAAAATGTACAAATATTATTTTTATAATGCATTCATAAGAGGATATAAGTTGTCTTCAAAAACATGAATATTTGTATGCTTGATTATTACTTGTTTATACTTAAATATAATTAAATACATATTTGCAATAACAGTTGATGAATTTACTCTGATACAATCAAAAGCTTGAGAATAAGTTATTCAATTTCAAAATATAGATCAAAAAGCTGGAGCTGGGGCAAAGTTATAGATTACTGGAGAAATGTTTTGTCACTCTTTGCTACCCACTTCACATTGCATTTTTACAAAGATCAATTAATTTCATCAGTATTTTTATTACTACCATCATAATAAACTCAATTTTCCTGTAATTTTGTTAACATCTTCTTCCAGACCAAATAAGCTCAAAACTGTTACAGATCCTGGTGCTATCTGTGTATGTCCAGCATCTTTGACCAGATAACATGGGATATTTTCCAACTTTGCCTTTTCAAAAAGCTGCATCAAATGTACATCATCTTTGCCTTTCAACACAATTTTCTTTTCCCTAAAAATGTTAAAATAGAGATATTCTTACAGAAAAACAAATGTGATGTTTTGTTATATTTGATCAATGTGCTGTATTATTCCAATATAAATATTATTTTTGTGATTTTCCAATGGCAGTAATCTGTCAACTCATTAAATAGTGGTGAAATGAATGAGAAATATGTTACCCAATATCTTCCCATAGATCTAAAACTTCTTGTTTATCCACTTTCACTAATTCACGATACAGTCCTAGACAGGCATGGCCAACCTGGAAGGATGATTGAAATTAAACATAATAACTATGAATTCATTCAGTTATTACTTGTGCTGCAATTTTACCCACACCCATTTTCAAGGAGGAATTAACAACAAAAGTCATTTTATAATATGGGATATCCTCATTATCTCCATCACCACTCTCATCATCTGATGCTGCATTTTCAGCAGCATTTTCAGTATTCTGGACAGGAACAGGTAAAGGTACAGCAGTTTGTGTTTCTTCTGGGCTGAATATGTAGTTGACAGCCTCATCAATTGACCTATTATCAGTACAGAAAAGGGCCTGGAGACAAATAACTGCCCGTTATCATGATACTATTCACTGTGTTAGGTACCTACTTGAATTGCTACATTATGAACGAATCCCATTGAAATTAAGTGATGTAAATATTCCTCGTTTGGTTTCCAATGATCAGTCATGTTTGTCTGTGCAGGTCAACTTTCAGTTATGTAGGTTGTAGACTATCGATATTATCAATCAAGATAATTCATGAATAATTAATAATTTTCTGAGGAAAAATTGAAAATTGTAAAATAGATCATGGATTCATATTCTATAACCTCAATTTTCAATTTTCATTTCATGTCATTTATGTCAGCACTGTCATACTGTCTCAAGGTATTTTTTCGCGAGATCCCGTTGATTTGCCGGGAACTAATATTCAGTTCCCGTTGCATTTTCGCGTTATAACGGTAATAGGGAAGTATGATAATGACGTCATCAGTGACGTCACAATTTATAAAACGGGAACTGTTTTAGTTCCCGCATCTGTGAGCATGGTTACTGGCGGTTATAGTATTTGACAAGTGACATTGTATCATTATTTATAAAGTATTATATTATGGGTGCGTTTTTCATTCCAACATTTTATCATGCGCATGAATCGAAGAAACCATCAAACTGTTGCAAAATTCCGCTGGAATGTATGTACATCCATCAAACTGTTGTAATAAAATGCGCACTTTTAAATCGCTTTTCGAGAATCCAGCAGTTTGGAGTACATTGATTACTCTAGTTTGGAGGAGATTGACATGACAGTTGATACATTTTAGTGTTGTTTTTTGTTTTGATTTGATAGAAAACAATTAATATCGAGGATTTTTGAGATTCTTGAGAGATTTTAGAAGAAAGACTCAGTGTTAATCAATAAAATCGAATTAGCCTCTTCTGATTCTCAAGATACATGATGACTGACACACAACAAAATCCGTGTTTCCATCAATGTGTTGTATAAACCATTGTTCAATCCTTCGAGCATAAATTCTAACAGAAAAATTGGTGACGTCTCGACAAAAACCGCATCTACCAGTGCGCACTTTCTTCGATGGAATGAAAAACACGCCCTATTATTAGAAGTCAACATATTTATAATTATTCAAACTATTTTTGAGATACCTACTACTCACTTTTTAAATCAAGAAATGGAAGAACACCACCAAAGAATCATCAATCATTGACAGTACTGTTGGGAACATTTTGAGATGATTTTTGTCGAGCCACCGGAGCGGTCGGAGCCAACGATCATACAACCAAAATGCAACTGCTGTCCATTTATTATGATCGAAAACAAAAACCCCAGCTGACAGAAATCTGAACGGTTAACCGGTTCATTTTCGTGAGAAATCAAAGGATGAACGGCCCTCTGTTTATTTTTTGGTTGGGGTATAACCGCTCCATTACCGGTGGCTGATCAACGGGAACTCGCGAAAAAATACCTAAATATTTTGAATAATGGGATGTCAATGTCATAGGTCAATGTCACGTCACTGTGTTTATGGTGTGTATGTGTGTCTTGTCCTTGTCAATTTGTCATGTTTACATTTTACAATAATATTTACATGTTTGGATTGCAATGTTGTGATGTGAAATTGTGAATTATTGAATTAAAAGTGGCTGTGTAATTCGCAGCTAGCTTTTGAAAACATTATTTGACTATATTGTATTTGGCAAACGGTTACAAAATGTTATAAACATCAGTCCTTCCAAGAACCCATCATTCCCATGTCATTCCAGGAAAAATCGGTATGTCTGATACTGACGATACTGATGATTTGTTACTAATTCCTCCTGACTTTTTCGTATTAGATTCTGATTATAATCATTCCGCTATCATAGAACCATATTATAATATTGTGGATAATCTCATAAGCAAAGTGAACAACTTGCAGAATCGCATCACATCCATAGAGTCAAGTGATAGTTTGTTGAGTAATTCAGTGGATTTCATGGATTCACCCCGTAAAATGCATAGTTCTGTAAATGGAGCCAGAAAATATAACAGTATTGATGATTTATACACCCCCAGCAGTACACAGAGTACTCCTCAAAAACCCCCCACAAAATTAAGGCTGAATTCACTACCAGCTAGCCCTAATGTTGATAAATTTGGTAGTGGAAAAAGTTTTCAACAAAGCAGCGCCGATTTGAAGACCTACAAAATTCGTTCACCCCAAAAAAATTATGAGACTCAGTCTACAAAACCTAAAAGTAAGGAAGACAGCCCCATGTTAAATGAAATAGATTCTTTCTTATCAAAGGTGAAAACCATACAACGTCTTAATGCTGTGAGAAATTTAGAATTTGATCTGAATGCTTGTCAAGAAAATCAAAGGGACTTGACAGAAAATAATATAAAAGAATGTGAGGAAATTTCAGCAGCAAAAGTGAATACATGGCAATCAGGAGACAGGAAAGAGAGTGTACCAGATCTCCACACTGGTGTGAGGGACATACTTTATCAACCAGGGGATTCATTCACTGAGCAGTTCAGAAAAGAGTCCCATTTACCAGATAGTTCAATAGCAAACAATTCTGCTAGTAGTTTTGATAGATATCCCCTTTCTGATAGCAGTACTGATTCTACCCAGGTGACAGCCTACAAAAAGAATTACAGTAGAGATGATCTGCTGAGAAGTCCTTTACATTCAAATGCACTGAGTATACTCAATGTTCATAAGCAATTACAAGATGCTGCTCATGAAAGTAGTGGTAGGAATAGAAATAGAGAACACAAACAAAGAAGTGCCAATACAATTGTTGACAAGACAGATTACCTATTGGACCAAAATTTGGGGTTACTAAAATTAGCAGATATATGGAGTACTAATTCCAAGGTACATTTGAGTGAGTCCCATCTCTCACAAAAACTGCAAGAAGAAAAATTGAGGCGTCTGGTAAAAATGTAATCTTCTACAATTGTTGTCTTTTTACTCATATTATTTTTTATAGCATTGTGAGGATTTGATTCAAGATTTGCAGAATCGCAATCTAGAATTGCAACAAAAATTAACAGTTGCTGTTAATGTGGATGAAACAAAAAATAAAACTATCCAACAGTTCCAGGAAGCTCTTGAAAAAATTGTTATGAGATTAGAAAAATTGAACAAAGAAAAACATGACCATGAAAATGAAATGTCAAAATTGAAGAGGAAGCATTCTCAGGAGATGGAAAATGCTGCTCAGGTAAATAATGCTATTGAAATTCCTTGTTATACCTCAAAAAAAAGGCTAAGAAAACATGGTAGGTAAGTGATTTTTCTATAAAATCTGTAATTTCACTTAATTTTTTGTTGCTTGACCATAGCACACACATCTTAACAAGTGTCACTCACAATTCTTGTAGCAATTCTTCTATTGCAAATTTGAAATTGTTTTGGTGTCTCAAAATCAAAAATGAAAGTCACAGTCTAATTGAAATGTCAAAAATTTGCCACTCAGCTACTGACACATAGTTGCCTAATGTCAATAAAGTACATCTGGAAATAACAGAAATTGTTCAGCTGTGAACATTGATGAATCAGGAGATGAATCATGATTTATTGTTCTCCTAATATGTGGAAAGATTTTTAAAAAATGAATAAAAAATACAGGTAAGTAATAAATTTGTTTGAGGAGATTCAGTGTGAAATGTAGCTACATAGCTTCACATCTTGTATCTCAAAGTTGAACAGGGCAGAACACAGTTGCTAGGTCACCAATGGATATTCACCAAAAGGCAACCCTGTATCTTCTACTTAAAACTACAATTTGCTATATAATACTGTAAAGAAGTACTTCCCAGAATAAAAATACTTCCAGATTTTCACTACTTTCAATAGCTGCAGGAAAAGTAAGTACAATTTGTAAAGTTACGTTGTTTTGGACAACACTACTGAAGCCCGACAATAAAATATAGAGAAATAAAATATTTGATTCCATTACTTTTCGTTGTTTTATTCTTTTATTTTTCTGTAAACGTCATGTTATTGCTATGCTGTACGGTTTCAATCAATAATATACCACACGGGACAATTCACCTTATTTTCAAATATCTCATGAAATTCAGTTATACAGGATGTGGTTGATGTATGGGAGGGAACTTTTGCCCCGACTTTTGCCTTCGTGCTGTAGGAAACGTTTGTGAAAGTTCGAGCACGATAAGTCGTTCGTGCGCGCATGATTAGATGGTTCAGCACGAAGAAGAATTTTCAGCACTATCTCGGCCAATCAGCGCGTGTTTCGCATATGTTAATCCCCTTGTCTTTGGTATTCTCAAAAAGTCAAAAAATATAGTTCTTAAGTAGTCAATATGTTCAGCTTTTAATATACAAAATAGTTTTGAACTGGCTAAAAGGCCTTAATTATTGTCAAACATCCAGAAATAAATCATTTCTGGAATTCATTGCCTGAGGAATTATTCCCAACAACATATAATCTCCAGAAGTTCAAAAAAAATCCAATACCTACCTCCTGTCCCTATCCTCCCTAGGAACGCACGATGTTCTTTGAACATTATAGGGATTTCCTTTCGTGCGCTCCGAGCGATAAAAAAAAGATTGAGGACTATACAGGGTTACTGGTAATTCGATTCGTTCCTTTGGAGATGTGATAGGGAAGGTGGTATAAGCAGTAAATTTAACCCTAATATGCATAGACAAAAGTTAATCTTGCAAGAAAAATGATCTCTCACGAGAGATCATTTTTTTTCTGTTTTTCTCCAGAAGGTAGGTACACTTCAAGTGCTTGAAAGCTAGTTTTCCGAAAATATGCTGTACATTTTTTCAACCTTTCATCTAGAATACATGATCAACACTATTTTCTTCTTATATGATTGAAATGACCAAATTCCAGAAATGCTGTTGATAATTCAATGTCACTCTACATATTAATTGTCATTCATTTTTATATAAATCACCTACACTAAGAAAAATGTCTATCCGAGTATTTCTTTCTTTATATATTTTCTGGTCGAAGTATATTCCATATTTTGGGAATATTTCTGGGAATTCAGGTATTTTAACTAGGAAATATATATTCAGAAAAAAAAACGCGAAAAGTGAGTTTTTGAATACTTTACCGCACCCCAGAGTCACTGGATGGTATTACTAGGCTCGGGGAACGTTCTCCAAAAATATTTTCTCGAGAATTTTACATTGATTGAGATACAGGAAGTTATCTTGAATTTAACAATATCTCCATAATATAATATGCTCATATAACTTTCGAACCATTTTGAATCACTTATTTATTCAATCTATTCATATTTAGTAGGCATATTTCTCATATATTAGCCAAGAAAACTAAATAATTATATTCGAATAACGTCTTATTTCAATAAAAATAAAATAATTTTGTACTGACTTTCTAGAAATTGACTTCCTATGAAAAAGAAGTTTCAAATGCTTTAACTGTGGCCCATGAAAATCGGGAAAAATATAAATCTATGGAAAACAAATATTCCCAACTACAAAATGAAGCAATGTCAATGGAAAGGACTCTTAGAGACCTGCAAGTTAAATACAACAACCAGATTGAGAAAAATGAGGGGCTTTCCAAACTACTAGATGATAAAGAGGCTGAACTGATTGAGGTAGGTTGAAAGGCTGCTGTGTTATTTTCACTTCATCATTTCATAGTGGGGGACTGTGTGACTGAGAAAAAAAGCACCAATAAATTTGGACTTGACAAAATTTTTAGGTCTCTATACAGGGTGATCCACAGTGGATGGCCTATTGGAAGTATTTGGAGAACGAAAAGACAGAACATCCTGAAAATTGGGTTTCTTCGATAATTGAACATTCTCTATCCGTCTAAAATATTTTCATCGATACAGTATTGCCACTTCTATCAGAAAAAACTAGCAACTTTGTTATTTCAAATGGAACACCCTGAATTTCATTGCATTTTCAGATTCTTTCTGAAATGCTGATTTCATCAATGTATCACACTTGGGGTCTAGCAGGAATGATTACAGAGATATAGGGTGTTCAAAATCGAGATTTTTCAATTTTAGGATTTTTTTGTGTCTAAACTATTCATTATCGATCAAAACGGCTTACATGTCCCTATGTTAACTTTTGATTGACTATCTACTGGAATTTGAAATGCCCCCCCCCCCCTCTAGCTCACTTATTTTTGATCCGATTTTAAAAATTGAAGTCATCTAGAATGATTTTTCAGAAATTTTTTCCCGTTGCATCAGAAAATACCGAACATACTTACAGAGTGCTCGGAACAAACGATCTACAGAGTACTACTTCATTTTTTCAAATGGAACACCCTGTATTCAATTGTATCACACTTGGGGTCTAGCGGGAATGATTACAGAGATATAGGATGTTCAAAATCGATATTTTTTTAACTTTAGGATATTTTTTTTGTGTCGAAACTATTCATTATTGGTCAAAACGGCTTCAATGTACCCATCTCAAGATTTGATTTACTATCAACTGACATTTAATTAGAACATTACAGTGTGGTTCAAGATTCAGAATTATGATTACCCTGTATCTGTTCCAATTATTAAATGTCAGTATAGATAGTAAATCAAAAGTAAAGTATACGGACATGAAAGCCGTTTTGACCAATAATGAATAGTTTCGTCACAGAAAAATATAAAAGTTGAAAAATCTCGATTTTGAACACCCTATATTATATCTCTGTAATCATTTTCGCTAGAACCCAATAAGTGTGATACATTGATGAAATCAGCTCTTCAGGGAGAATCTAATAATTCAATGAAAAATAGGGTGCTCCTTTTAAGAAAATCAAATAGTACCATGTAGATCGTTTGTTCCGAGCATCTTGTATAATCTGATGTAGTGGGAAAAAAATGTATCGAAAATCGAAAATCATTTTAGATGATATTTAATATTTTGCAATCGGTTAAAAAATACCTGAGCTGAAGGGGGAAGGGGACATTTATGGCGAATCACCCTGTACATACTATAAGGACATTCTCCCCGACATTGTCGCTATTTTTTCTGTTGGAGCGTTCTGATAATATTCTGCAAACCTGAGAAATGAACTGAAATCACCAAATTTTAAAATATTCCAACTTTGCAGAGGTTTTGAGATATTTTTTCACAACAATATTTGGCGTTACTTCATTTATTGCAGTTTTTGCGGAATTCGGAAAAGTTTTCTAGTCTTCTCTGATAACATTCAGTGTGATTTTCGTATTATAGAATAAAAATAACGTGAACACTGCTAGATCAGAAATATCGCAGAGCAGAAAAGCTGTGGAAATTTGCCAGGCGGAGGTCAGTACGATGAAAAAAGAACACTCAATATTACAAAGCCAACTGAGTGATTTGAAAGAAGAAGTTTCCCTATTGAATGACCAGAAGAAGGAACTTTTGGCTGAGGTTGCGTCTCACAAAAAACGCGAGGTGAGAAAATCTACAGGTCGTTCTGAAATCGATATCGATGGTGTTTACGATTTTTTTTTGAAGCTATGAAAATTGATTTCGGCAATCCTTTCTTTTATTTAATTGCAATAGCCGTGAAAAAAAATTCAGTTCAACATCAATCAAACGTATGACGGAGGGTTTGGTGAAATGAAGAATAATTATATATCCAATATATTCATTTAACCTAGAATATTTTTCAAACAGCAAATATTATCAGCCCATATATTCTGGAAATCGGAAATGAAAGTTCTTGAAATTGAATGAATTTGATATTTTGTTTCTTATAGCTTATTTGTTTCATCTCTTGAGAACATTCTGGTGATTCAATAATAGTTATAAATGCTGAATTTGAAGGGTTTTTTCCCTATCGTGAATAATGAACCCAATAGAAACCGTTTCTACAAAAAAAAGTCATTCAATTCAATCGCCTTCGTTCAAAATTATCTTCATTCATTGGGAATATTTCAATGTTTTTCTCTTTTTAGATGGAATTGAACGATGAGTTGTCAAAGGCGAAAAAACAAATAGAAAACAATAAATTGGAGCTCAGGAATTTTTATCAAGGTCAGGTGGAAATTTTGGTTCAGAATAAACTGAAAGAGTTTCAGTCGCAATTGGATCAGGCTGAAATGGGTTTCAAGGGGGAGATTAAGAAGAGAGAAATGTCCATAGCGAAAACGGCTGCCTCACATATTCAACAAATTTCGGAAAAGTACGGATTTTTCTTCCTAGAAGCTTCACACTCAAACCTGAGAAGTATTGTACAGAGTGATAATTTTTTCATTCCACACTAGAGAACATTATTCTTACCTTTTTCAAGGACTCCAAATTTGCAATGAAAAATGTTTTGGACATGAGTGAGGATGCACTCAATGTTTCCTTTTTTTTACAACTTTCGAGATAACATTTCTTGTTGATTAAAGACTAACTAGAGAATATACATCAAAATCCCAGGAGATGTTTGGGAGAAAGCCAATTTTGAAATACGAGGAGTTTTTTTGAACTTGAAAAACAACTGTATGCTATTTTTCGTCATGATATTTTCACAGAAATAAGTGCTCTCACCAATAAAGAGGAACAGAAGGTTGATTTCCTTTGTTTCAATTGCAATGTACACTTTATCATAAGTTATATGTACATTCTTGAAATTTACTTATTGCTACATCTACTAAATTGGAAACCAACTCCCCAAAAAGAAGTGAGGAGAACGGGCATTCCTTAAACTGTGATCTTATAGTGGATTTCGAAACACATATTGGACTCAGAGATATTTATCGATTATTATACCAGGTGTCAACGAATCTATTAGACAAGTCATAACTTCTAGACCATTAGGTGTATCAAAATGAGATTTGGTATAGGTAAATGGTATGTGAAGAGGAGATTTCTCACATATTCTTCACTTCCCGGCACTTCCGGTTTCACCGGAAATGGCTCCGGTTCTGAATTTTTAAATGGAACACCCTGTATATTGTAACATTTTTGGATTTATGAGACAATTCTAGATCATTTTTTATGCCTACTTAGTTTTTATGACACGGGCCAGTTTTCAATTCCTTTTCCGAATGATAATTTGTATTCAGAATTTACTGCACCGTGTTATACATAAACAGAGTCTGAAAGCAAAATTGTCCCATTTTTCATTCATTTTAAGTTGAAGCGCTTGCGCATAACGCCGTTATTTAACCTTCGAATTGTTTGTTTTTGTTTTGAAGTAAGAAACAATTTTTTGGGGTTATGGTAATGTCACTGTTGGTATTTTGAAAAGGTAATTGATGTAATATAAATTACAGATAATATATATGTCCACCGATTAATTTTATTGTTATCTCAAATTTAGATATAATGGTTTGGTCTTCGGAGCATATGTTGGTGCTTTAATTGAAGAATACCAAAAATATCCTTGTTTGTTTGCAATCTCGTTTGCAATCAAACACCCAGGAACGCTCGAGTAGACGCTTTCACATGCTTTGACAAAGATGAAATGTGGATTGAGTACCTAAGTACCTCATTTCTAGTGAAATAAATTCTCGCATATTCGTATTTTATTCATTCTTATGAAATTTGTACATACCTACTTATATCACAGATTTGAAAGACCACAGGGTTTCCAGAAAGTTGTTCATTTTGTACCATATTCAGAACTCCTAGCCCACGAGTGTTCTTCTGGAGCGATTCACGAGACAATTTTTTAATATTTTTCCATTCCGATTCTTTTTAATAAATACGCTGAACATAGCACCCACTTTTGCGGAACTGCAGACAGATGTTCAAGAAAAACTATTACTTATACAATTCTTCAATTTTGAATATCTATTATTCCAAAAATATATTTTGAGGTCACGATAAAAAAAATACACGCACAATCGGCATGTGCATCTGCATATTATATTATTTGATTATTTCATAACATGCGCATGCCCCTTGTCACAATATCTTATCTGTGATCTTATGTCGTGTCACAATTAAAGCAAAGAATCATCCCACAGATAAATGATTCAGAATATTCTAAATGTTTTATTCTGTTTAATAATGATCCATTTCATGAGTGAAAAACTGGCCTGTGCTATAAGGACTTGATAGATGAAAATATGAACCAAGCTTTGTCAAATAAGACTGCAATGAAACTCTTCGTGTGGTCTGATTTACTGGCCTCGAAATAAGCACGGAGTTGATTCGAATGGATTTATTTGCTTCAAAAACACCCAGTATTACAAAAATGGCACACCTCGTAGCAAAACTACAAAAACGCAGTTCTGAAATAGTACTTACACGAAATATATTATTTCGTTGCCTACCTACAAAAACGCAGGCACAAGTGAGAATTATTTCAAGTATTGAAATAATTTCCCTTGGAAACCGAAATCCGTTTTAATAATTGTGTTGGCTACTTTGGTTCAATAACATAATATCACATTCATCCGCTCTGGATGGGTTGGATTCAGAAGTGAAGAGAATTGTCGGATAGCATATAAAAAGCTCAGTGTTTTTGCGGAGCCCGGGTTTTTGCGAGTCGTTCGCGTACCTATGAACTTTACTGGCAATTTTTGGTACCATAGCGCATACAGGGTGTTCTAAAACAAACCAGACGAACATTTACAGTTAACTAATTTATAACAACTGTGAACGACAAATAAATGGAGAGCTAGGGGTTTTGCTACAAGACATTGAGAAATGTCGTTGGCTCCCGTGCTATAAGATAGTGTAAGCTCGTCGTGACATACCCTGTACCGTTATAAATCTCATATTCTCCACAAATAATCATGGTGCTTCTAGATGAACCTACTCTAGAACCTTATGTTTTTTCATTTTTCGAAAGTATCAGTTTTGGACCATGAAAAGTAGGGTCTGAGAATTAGCATAATGACCTGGTGCGTCCTCATCTATAGCCCACAATTTCCAGATATTCTCTCGAGATAAAGTTGCTCGAGAAAAAACACCAAGAGGAGATCAAATTGTACAACATCCAGATAATGCAGCACAAGCAGCAAGCGGAGAACGTGCAGAGCAAACTGGACCAGATCCAAGAGAAGAGGGTTCAGATCGCCAAACAACTCCAGAAGATCATGGAGTCTCAGTGGACGGAGGCTTTGCGGATCATTTCCAGCGGCAAAAGTCCCACGTTGAATGACGAGTCCGCTTTCAACACTATCGACCAACTGAACTCGCTCAAAACCAGGTCGGTGATTCTTCATACTATGTCAATGGGCGTTTCCAATTCTTAATCCTATGCCTTCATACCGTGGGAACATCTCGTTTGTCCCAATTTTCGATTCGCCCAATCTTCGATTCGCCCAATCTTCGATTCGCCCAATCTTCGATTCCCCCAATTTTCGATTTGCCCCATTTTCGATTCACCCTGTTAGCATCTAGCAACTAGATGCGCTACTGCTCAGTGGAGTGTGCTCAGATCAGAGCCTATGACAGACGTGTGTGAAGACTGGCTCATACAGTGTTCGGCAGGCAGCCGAGTTAAGAGCAAGTGTAACCCTTGTCCATGTCATTTGTGCTCGTGTTTATTGAATTATGACCATAATATAACACACCCAATTTTTGATACACCCAATATATTCGACTGTTGAATATACATTCTAGGATGAGGGTTCATCTTAAGGAGTCAAGTTAGAAAATTTAAACTAAGGGGGCTTATTTGTTCTTTCAAGTAATTTTCCGAAAAATATACTTTTCAGGAAGGTTCTTTCAGGCAGAGTAAGGTGAGATTATTCACTTAAGTCGAGTAAGGTTAGATTGTTTCAAAAAAGAAGTATTATGTTCTCTCAAGTAATTATGTATGCGAAAAATATACTTTCTAGGAAGAACATTCATTTAGGCCGAGTTAGGTAGGTTGAGTTAGGTAGGTTAGGTTAGGTAGCTTAGGTCAGGTAGGTTAGGTTAGGTAGGTTAGGTTAGGTAGGTTAGGTAGGTTAGGTAGGTTAGTTTAGGTAGGTTAGGTAGGTTAGATAGATTAGGTCGGTTAGGTAGTTTTAAAAAGGTAGTCTCCTTTATGCAAAAAATAATATTTTCCTTCCTTATATTACGTCGAAATTTGAGTCAATCAAAATTAATGTGAATCGAATTTGGGGCGAATCGAAAATCGGGCGAATCGAAAATTGGGCGAATCAAAAATCGGGGGAATCGAAAATTGGGTGAATTGGAAATGGGGTGAATTGGAAATTGTGTGAATCGAAAATTGGGTGAATCAAAAATTGGGCAAATCGAAATATGTACTAAACTGGGCGTCAATTGAAACGTTAATAGTGAAATTTGGCATCAAGTTTGACTTCTCGTAATTTCTAAAATATTGAACGAATTTTTAATTGCCGCCCAGATTCTGAATGCCTTTTTCATCGTCTTTCGAACCGTTCCTTACAGCTTCTTCTAAATTGATCAGGATCCATGATACAGGGTGAAACAAAGTTACGTGCATTTTAAAAAATATTTCTCCGCCCCCTCATTTTGTCGGAAGACCACGATGCTCATATTTTATTCAGGCATTTCATAAATAGCAACCATACCTCGGGACGTTTTCGAGTTTTTGCCAAAAACTACTGTGGAATTTTTTTTTTGAAATTTTAAATGGACTGATTAACTGTATCCTCAAAACGATGAATCAGTCTATTTATTGTCATGACTGACTCATTGAAAATGGTACTTAAATGAGTTTGGGTATATCCTAATCGTCATAACCTGAAATAATAATTATCTGTACTGAATTATAGTTTATATCAATATAGTGATCTTACCTAATGGTATTTTCCATTTCGACCCGATTTGAACGAGACATCTTTGAATTTTTGAGGACCTGAATTACACTGACGTTTTCATGAAAATCGGCAATTGATATAACCTCTATGCATACCTACATTGTTTCAAGAGTACCTTGTTATAGAAACAAGGTATCGTTGTTTGTTTTGTTGATGAGATGTGTTGATTTACTGCTCACTAAGGTTGAAAACTTTTATCATAGACTGCGAAGTAATAAATTATTGATTGTTTTTGAGTAACCTGGTATACATATCTGCTCCAACGCTTTCCTGAAATGCATAAAAGCATCCATTTATGGAACTCCTCTGAAATTAGTCCATTTGAAAAAATACAAAAACATTTTTTTTTTTTGGAAACCACAGTAGTTTTTGGCAAAAACACGAAAACGTCCCGAGGTATAGTTGCTATTTATGAAATGACCGAATAAAATATAAGCATCGTGGTCTTCCGACAAAATGGGGGGGGGGGGGGCGGAGAAATTTTTTTCAAAATGCACGAAACTTTGTTTCACCCTGTATCATGGGTCCTGATCAATTTAGAAGAAGCTGTAAGGAACGGTTCGAAAGACGATGAAAAAGGCATTCAGAATCTGGGCGGCAATTAAAAATTCGTTCAATATTTTAGAAATTACGAGAAGTCAAACTTGATGCCAAATTTCACTATTAACGTTTCAATTGACGCCCAGTTTATACATACATATTATGTGTATCGAGAAATTGAAATATTCAATGATAATTCTTCATTCAGATTTGGCAACAATGTATCGTTCGGGTATATTCGGAGATGGTGGGCGAATCGAAAATTGGGTGAATCGAAAATTGGCCGAATCGAAAATTGTTCCAATCGTTTGTCAGCTCCTTAATTTCTCCCCATATATTGCCCTTTCTTTCAGCCAACTCTCTGATTCCATTATTCCATCTTCTTCTAGGTCTTCCTTTACTGTTTTTTTCTTGCACTCGCGCTTCCTATACTCTTTTCGTTAGTCTCTTGTCTGGCATTCGACACACAGGGCCAAACCATCTTAGCTGTCCTATTATTCTATCGTGTATAGGTTCAATCTGTAGATTTATACTGAATGTTTGATTTCTAATTCTGTTCCCAGTATCGTAAAATTTGACCCTTTTCGCTATAATGTTATGAAGTGAAGTCAAAAACGTTATCCCTACCACATATTTATCGAAAATACCGAACAAAAAATGAATTATTCGATATTGAAATAGTTATTTTCCTAACAAGTGTGAAGGTGTTACTATTCCGCACTTAAAAACAGTTAGGCGAACGAGTCGAAGCGGAGTTCATATAAGTGTTTGCGTTTTTGAGCAATTTTTCAAGCAACTTTCCAAAAATTTGTGGTTTGGAAGTATCAAAATTATTTCTAGATCTTACAACAATGTCGAGGAAGTTCTAGCACAGCAGCAAGAAGAACATTACAATATAACGAAGCGACAGAAGAATGGCCAACAAACAGAAATGGCCGAATTTCCTCTCGGTCGTGGTCAAGAGGCTTTCAGTTTGGCCATGGACACTCCTGTCTCCAGCAGAAATAAATTCAGCGAGAATGATATACAAAAATACATCAATTTGGTATGTATTCTGTTCAAGAAAAACAGTTTATTTCATAATTTTTCGGAATATACGAGGTGTCTTTGAAATAAGTGCACATATTCCCATGATGTCAGATTTTTTCTAATTCTTCTAATCAACGAGAAATTTCATCCCAAAAATTGAACAAAATACGAGAAAAAAATCAAGTAGGTACGCCACTTCAAAACAATTTGAATGATTGAACTCTGCGTGATTGTGCCTATCGCATGGAAATTTTAACAGAGGTGACGTCAAATTTACCACAGTGTAGAACTTTGGGTGGAAAAAAGAGTCTAACCCCAAATTGTATTTTGATCCCTAAATTTGTTTTATTAGTGCCATTCGATAGTACACGTCGAGCTTTCTCAGTGTTTGAAATATTTGCACTCATTTCAATGCCACCCTTTATAAAATTTTCATTTGCATCGACATTTATCAAAAAAGGATTCCAGATGTTCATAGACTCTTTTATGATCACCCTGTATTAGCCATTATGGCATAATTCAGTCTGATCGGTGACTGACAAATATTATCTTTATTTTGAATATTTTCGACTGACTTGAAACTGAATATAGTGAAAAAGTTTTTTTCTCAAAGGGCAGAAAAGGGTGTTTTTATATTCGCTATAGCATTTTTTCTTTAGGGTATCAAATTGGCTATCGTGATTTTAAATCAAGTTCCACTGTTGCTGAAGAAGATAATTTTTTCTTGATAATCGGCGATTTGTATATTGTAGATAATAAATGGCCTCCATCTAACTTGTTTATTTTTTTATACTTTTTCAAATACTATTGAATATTGAATAAAATTGTTCTTCAATAATTGTTACTGGATTTGAAAAGTAACATCATAGATTAAAAAGACTCACATTGCAAGTAAGTTCTTGTTTTTGTTGAATCGAATTGTAACAGAATGTTTCATATACCATATATTGTTTCAGCCTTGAAGAAGAAAATGAAAAATTTTAAAAGCTTGGCATAGCAATAAAGTACACTCCGGCACAAAATTCCGCCACCCTGAAATTTTGTTATCAGTTCGTAGATATATTTATTATGTTTTTCTTCAATTATTTTATCATTTTTCGATTAGGCTATATTATACAAGAAGAAATCAAAATGTTGTTTTTTGTCGTAATTTTAAAACACCCTGGTGGGAAACTGAGGTGGATAATTCTGTTTAGATACTGTTTCTTGTAATCTCTGATGTATTCTAAACATTTCTTTAGTTTTATTCATTCCATTATCACATTCGTGCTGGAAAATTTTAAATGAAACGCTGATTTGAAGTCTATTTTTATTAACAAAAACAAACACTAGGTATATCATGAAGTTAATCAACAAACACGATTCAATAACGTGTATTTCCTCCTCTCGCAGCAATGACAGCTTGCAGTCTTCGCGGCATCGAATGAATTAGGTCACTTATTCTTTCTTTCGGTCAGCGCCAGTCGTAAGTTTTGCAAGGTTTGTGGTTGTGCAGGACGACGACGAACGGCTCTTTCAAGTTGGTCCCAAAGATGTTCAATTGGGTTGAGATCCGGGCTACATGTAGGCCCAATCTTGGAAGTCCAACTTCATCCAGGTATTCGCTCACTACATGTGCAACGTGAGGTCTAGCATTATCATGCATTAATGTAACTTGATTCCCAATAACAGGAGCAAATGGAACAACAACTTCTTGGAGGATTTCCTCAATGTAACGGTGGGCGATTAGGGCTCCATTTTCAATAAATACAAGATTCGAAGCCCTGAGGGGGCAGAAGAACGATCTAGCCTTCATAGCCATCTAGTGGCTTAAGTGCAAGGTGTATAGGTAGATTCATCAATCATACCTTGCGACTAAGTCGTGCATATAGAACATTAAACCACTTTGAGAATTACAGGTGTTGCGATAGTCTACAGAATCTGACATGGATGTCTTTTCTGTAAGCATATAGACGTAGGGGTCTATATGCACGACTTAGTCGCAAGGTATGATTGATGAATCTACCTATACACCTTGCACTTAAGCCACTAGATGGCTATGAAGGCTAGATCGTCCTGCTGCCCCCTCAGGGCTTCGACTTGTTTGATATATGGAGGTACCCTTCGTGAATCGATTGTCAGCTGGTCAGTGCAACTGATGAGACTTATGGCAAGTCGAAACAGTGTCCATGATATGAGATTCGTTCTGATATGGTGCAGTCAGCATATCTTTCGTTTCTACGTTTGTATACCATCCAACGACCTTAAACAAACCCTGGATTCATCTGTGAATAGTACGTTTCCCCACTGTTCTAGAGTCCAGTCAGAATGCGATCTTGCAAATCTCAGTCGGTGTTGTCAATGCCGAGGAAGTAATCGTGGACGTATTGTTGGCCTTCGTGAATGAAGTCCAGTGTCTGCCAATCTTTTACGTATCGTTCTTTCACTTACATTTAGGCCATCCGCACACGGGTCGATCGGCGACATGAGCGACGCGATTCGAATCGTACGACGGTCTCCCCTCTACTCGACTTCCTAAGCAAAGCATCTGGATTCCGCACACGGGTCGTTTAGTGGTCGTCTAGAAACGTACGATTTAAGATCTCCTCGTTTTCAGTCTCACGCGATTAGCAAGGAAGCAGTTTGATCGAGTGAATCTTGCGTCTCAATGGAGAAAGTTGTTCAATAATTTTTCAATCATTGTGAATATTTGTGTTACCTACCTTAGTTCTTTACTTTCAGTAACTAGAACATATAATCCTATGCTTCCAATTTATACTCTCAGCTTTAGGAACTGTTTGATTTTTTGAAATATATGAATCTTACATCAATGTTATTAGTATGTGTTCTTCTGCTTTGACACATTCCCTCATATTTGAATCCATATAATTTATGGCTGGAGCAAGAGTTTCCACTAAATCAATATATGATTCCTTCGACTTTCTATAAAATGCCAGACATTTTGTGTCACTCTCTTGCATTTCACTTGCAGTAACAAAAAGTCGAGTGTGAAAATTTCGTGCAATGTACGGATGCACCCATAAACTTCGTTGTCTTCTTCTTCTCCTGATCTGCCGGTGCCACAAAAACATGAATATGTCCTCCTCGCCATTGGAACTGCTCATTTTTAGCGAAACATTTCTTTTTGAAGTAGCAAAAAATAGAGTAACTCAGTTGATCAGACGCGAGTCGACTACACAAAATGTCAACCCATATGCGGATGACACACACTCCCGTCTCTTGAATCGTACGAATGCAGAAATTGTGACGTCATTGCAATCGCGTCGCCCATGTCGTCGATCGACCCGTGTGCGGAGGGCCTTGCTCGACGAATAATTTGCGAGTCATTTTTTTTTTCACACACAGCAGTAGATCTTCGATCTCTTAAAGAACTAATGGAGACAAAGTGATCATCAGCTGCACTGGTCATTCTCCATCTGCCAGAGCCTTGCCGTCTAGTAAAAATGCCCGTCTGTAAATACCTATTTCAGGCATTTCGAACTGTTGACCTCGGAATTCTCAGAGTAAGAGCGACATAACTTTTGCTACGGCCATCCTCTATTAACGCAACAATTCTACCCACGTCTGCTGGAGTTGATACCATATTGACACATAACAAATTATAATTTTGTCACTGTCAAACATTCTGCCACAATAATCGCGTCTATTCGTGGGAATCAATGCTACTAGATGGCGCTCGGTTTTCATCGTTCCATGTCAAAGCCACGTCAAAACTGGGGGAAAACGAACTCAATCCTCACTCAATCCCATTAGTGCCATTAGCTTGTGTACTGTGTACTGATAAGAGTGATAAGTTTATGAATTTCGTAACATTAATTGTCAATTTTCGATCGAAAACGCTAATAATGCCTGTTGTAGATGTTCTTTTGGTAGATATTTTGCTCTATTTAGATGGAAAAAGCCGACCAGTAGTGGAAGGAGAAGCAGTTCTCCGTGCTAATCATGTGATTTTGTGTGAGGCAGAAGACATCAACAAAATGCACATTTTTGCACTTTGTCTACGAACTTCGGTGATGAAATCTTCCCCAAATGAAGTAAAATTGAAGTTGGGGGTCCAGAGGAACTCCTGTAGCACAATGGATTTGTATTTGTTCCTGCAAAGCAGGACAATCTGGGTACTGTAAACATGTTGTAGCTGTTCTATTATATGTAAATTGATTTGCTCGTCATAATTAGTTTGAATTGTTTGAACTATCTCCAATTCTTCACCCGTTCACTGTTCACTAAACTAATAAAAATGTAATAATATAAAAAAATTAACCAACTCAACCATCATCACTACCAACAGTGCCAACACTTTATGTCATTGACAAGTTTGACTACAGCTACAGCAAGCTGAATGCATTGTAGTCTATGCACTTCATCCATAGACAACAGTTTGTTTTCCCCCAGTTTGAAGTTCGTATTATGTAACCTAGATGTCGCCCACTTCGTAAATCTCGCGAATAGCCAACGTCGATAATTTTTAACCGAAAGCTCGACATACATTTTCAAAAAATAACATCGTTTCATTCAAAATTTTGCAGCTCTCAGCACAAATGAGATAATGGAATGAATCAAAAGAGGAAATGTTTAGAATACATCGGAGATTACAAGAAACAGTATGTGAACAAAATTATCTACCTCAGTTTCCCTACAGGGTGTTTTGAAATTACGACAAAAAACAACATTTTGATTTCCTCTTGTATAATATAGCCTAATCGAAAAATGAAACTTTATAAAATAATTGAAGAAAAACATAATAAATGGATCTACAAACTGATAACAAAATCATGAAAATCGGATAAAAAATAAATTAGTTAGTTATAATAATACATCAAACTTGGACAAAATTTCAGGGTGGCGAAATTTTGTGCCGGTGAGTGTAGTTTGCTTGTAGCTCGATATTTCCTATTATATCATAATATAATACAGTCGAAGAACTATTCATTCAATGAAATATTTTTGTTATGTATCATGTTTAGTGGGGTAGTTTTATCCCTAGTGATAATATTATAACACAGTCGATTCTGACATAGATTTTCTGTTGTTCAGTTATTAAATAGACATGTCGGCAATCCGACTCAAGATGAGGCTTCCAAAGAATCGGAACAAGCGTCAGAATCACACGATAGGGGAGCATTTTCGTATGTGAGTATGTGATTTATTTGGGGTTGTTTTTGGTCGCCAGCTATTTTCCTGATGTGTTTCTAGGATTTTGACGATGCGAGCAAAGATGGTCTCAGGGGTCTTCAGAAGGAGAAGAAAATTCCAAAGCCGCCTTGGAAGTAATATAGACTTGTATACCTAATGGGTTTTAAAATTTTATTTAATTTATATGTACAAATATGAAGTTGATATTTTTATTTATGTGTATATAGTTTATATTACTTTCGATTTTTATGACTGAATAAAATTACTCCCGGGTCATTCTATTCTAATGTTTTTATTATGGTTCCGAACGAAAAATTCAACAGAGGTGACGTCAGAATAGCTACAGTGTGGAACTTTGGATGGAAAAAGGGGTCTAACCTCAAATGTTATTTGGATCCCTATATTTTTTTATTGTTACTACTCGATAGTATACGTCGAGCTTACTCAAGGCATAAAATATTTGCGATTATTTCAATGCCAGCCTGTATATTACTTTTCATGCGCGATTTGGAAATGTTAGGAATTTTCTGAAATATTGATCAGGAGCGTGGGAAATAGGTGGGGCAAAGTTATTGACATTTCATTTCTGTTGACATGTTACGAAATGTCACTTCATAAATTACTTATTTTTTCTGTGACGGGAAAAAAGTTTGGCATTTCATCTCTGTTGGCAGGTTATAAAATGTCACTTTTTTCATGAATTCCTTTTTTATTCCCGTGGGAAAAAAGTGAGTACTTTTTCCTGGATATATATCATATATATATATACTGTTGATGGCTTTTGTTGTGCTGTAGTTCCGAAAAATGAGTCAATAATACCGTCTCCGAGAAAGAACTGCAAGTCCTTTTATCTTCCATTCAACTTCGCGGTTACGTATATTACTAAATTCGCAATATTTTGAAATCAAATCACAGAATCAGACTGACAGAAGTGACATCAGATAGTTGATTACTTCAAAAGAATGATAAAAGATGCCTACAACGCAGGTGTTCTTACTGTTAAAAACTTGAAATTTCACGTCGATAATTTTCAGATTTCAAAATAATGTAATATCTTCTCAATATTGATTCGTCCTATCTTCTGTCACAGAAAAAAAACATTGTTTACTATAGGTACACGTCGGGAGACAAACACCCCCAACATTACAGTTTCGTACTTTCAAATTCAATCTCATTTGATTTGGGGTTATGTTATGAATGTTATGCTATTATTATTTCTGGTGGAAGCGATGTGTAAGCACAATTTTCTGTTATGAAAGAAATCTGTGAAAAGTATCGCCATCTTGCCGACAACTGAGAACTAATATGCCATTATTGCGGAATCTGCACGGTCAAGCGTTTTGGGAGAAATAATACTTTCTTGTCGTAGAATTAGCTCTCTTGCAATATCTAGCATTAACAGATGAACATTTCCTTGTTGGAAAGTGGAAAAAAACATAACAATTATCCATCTATGCCTTAAGTCGTGGCGTTCACAACCAAACTTTTTACGTTTTGCTTTTTACGTTTCGCATTCTGATTGGTGAAGCAAAATCTGGAATGGTCATGACGCAAAAAGCTGAATATTTACAGCTTTTTGCGTTGCAAGATGCCACAATGTGTGAAAATGGCACGATGTAGGAAAATGGAAAAATAGACAGATACTCAATACTCCACCTATATTTTCACACCATATACCTCAATGATAGTCTCACCCAATATTTGCTTTTTCAGGATTGATTTTTCTCTTTAAGGAGCAATTTTCGTCTCTGCCAGTTCTCATGAATATTAATCGTTATTTAATTAATATTATTGTTGTGATTATTTTTTTTACATGTCAAAATGTGACGTTTTCCTTGTTTCAACCAATATCAATGCGTGATTCTAGCCAATCATTCGGAATCATACTGATAATTTGTTAGTATCAAATTACCGCGATGACTTATTCACGTTTGGATCTTCCTTCAAATGGATACAAAAAGGGACCCATAGACTGCGATGTTGATAGGCTGTTTTGTTCGACTAACAAGTCTGTTCGAACAAAAATTGCGCACAACCGAAGTGTGTGGCTGTAAAATGTTCGTTTTCGCTGGCCACACACTTTAGTTTTGTGTCTTTTTTGTTCGAACAGACTTGTTCGACGAACAAAACGGCCTACCAACAACGCAGTCTATGGGGCACCTTTAGAGAATTAGCATTGACTTGACTTGGTTGTCAAGGTAACGCAGCTATTTGTCTCAATGTAAACATTTCGAATTCAGAACCGACGCCATTGTTAAGTATCAGTCAGACTTCGTATTTTGTGATTTTCTCTAACGTTTAAACGAGTTGGTATAGGTTCGGAAAAACTTTACAATTATTATTAGTCATTAACAGAAACCGACATGAGCACGAGATTTGGTCAAAGCTCGGCTGATTCAATACATTTAGCTGTCGAACAAGCAACACCAATCAACACCACAAAAAGCAAGAATACGATATGGAAACAGTTTTTGGAGTTCTGCCTTGAACGTAATTATGAGTTGACTGCAACAACCGAGATGAAACAAATCGCATCAATTATGGAGGACTGGGCATATAACATGCGAAAAAAAAATGGAGAAAACTACAAAGAATCTGTTGTCAAAACTTTGTGGAATGTCACCGCAAAACTTATCCAGGAAAAATATTTCAGGGAGTATAATAGAAACATTGATCCGTTCACTGATATTGAATTTAAGACCGCGCGAGATGCGCGGAATTGCAAACGTCGAGAACTTCAACATATTCCTGAAAAAAGAAAAGCATCTTCTGTTGCTCTCAAGAAAGAAGAAATAGAAAAAATGATAGCAGCATGGGACGAAAATACTCCAAATGGCTTACAAAGGAAGTTTTATCATACTGCTAGCTACGAATTGGCTTGGAGAGGCGGAGAAGCGACAAAAGCATTAGTACAGTATTTTAGAGAAGAAATGGATCATTATGGAAATCAAACTGGAAGGATAGAATATAATCCAATAATTTCTAAAACAGCACAAGGAGGATCGCACAGGTTATCTGATAGCAAATTTTTAACGCCAAATGAAAATGAGACTGAAAAATGTCCAGTACGTCTCTTTCGGAAGTTAATGTCGAAAAGAAGTGCAAATATTCAAATTGATCGTTTATTTTTAACACCTAATCCAAATTGGCAGCAACCTTTGTCTAAGGGGTGGTACAAAAATCTTCCGGTAGGACAAAATGAAATAGCAAAATGGACAAAACAAGCGGCCCGAAAGATTGGCTTGGATCCTAGCAAAATCAAGGTTACAAACCATTCACATCGTTCTTCTGCTGTGACACAACTCGCTAAAAGTGGAGTAAGTGAGCAGCAGTTGTTGAAGATAACTGGACATTCATCTGCAAGCTCCATCAAACCCTATCTTCAACTTGACAAAGAGCATCACGCAAGCATGATAAACAACTTGAGAGGAAACACTGTTTCGACCTCTTCATCTCAAGGAAATTGTACAATAACATACAATAATTGCACCATTACAAACGTAAATTGTAAACATTCTTGATTGTTTGATATATAATTATTTGATATATAATTGTTTGATATATAATTGTTTGATATATAATTGTTTGATATATAATTGTATGATAAATGATTGTTCAATAAATAATTGTTTAATAAACATATTCTGGGGCATTTTGCGAAATAGTAAAAAAAATAATCACGCCGAATTACATTCGTGTTGGTTATTTTTTTAAATAATTTTAACTAGATTTAGCACTCGTCTTTGTTGCTATTGAGAAATCCCACTCGTGGACTTCGTCCACTCGTGAAATTTCTATAGCAACAAAGATTCGTGCATCTAGTTAAAATTATCAAAAAATTACCACCACTTGTGTAATTACTGTTGATTATTTCACTTCATTTCATGATGAAGCACAAGTGACAAAACCGTGGGAACTGAGAAAAACCGTAAAAACTCACATTAGCGTTTTTTGTTGAGAATGACATTTGCTTCAGTTCAATCCACGTTTAATTTCAGATTTCGCTTCACCAATCAAAATACGAAACGTAAAAAGTTTGGTTGTGAACCCCAATTTACTCCTTAGCGAATCAGAAAATTTGTAAGTGGTTCGAATAACCACTGATCTACATATTAACCACCCAAATGACAGGTGTTAAAATAACCACGCTCTTAGTGAATCGGACCGATACCCCTTTTTCGAATATCAGTGGCAGAGCGTCAATATTTTCTAGAATATTAGGCTCTTCTTCTTCTCGCTTAAGATAATATTCGATGGACCAGTGTTGAACTCAACATGTGGATCAGAATACTCGTAGTGCGAGCACCACATGAGTGTTACATTGGTCCATCGGATATTATCTTTATACGGAGGCGAAATATTCACGGAAATATTGACGCTCTGCCACTATATATAACTTAGACCAGTTTGAATCGCGACATTATCCACTTCGATCATTTGCTTTTTGTTTCAACTCGTAATTACATGACGGAAGTATGTCCAGAATAATATAAGAGCAAATAAATTGCTGTGCCATATGGATTTGGCTCAGATTGAGGAGTGGCACAGAGGTAGGTTTTTGAGATCTACCATTCAAATTGGTACTGAATAGCATACATAATTGTCATCTCGTTATCAGATGACGGCCGAAATTTGCAGCCCTACTCTATTATGAAGATCTTCGATAAATATTTTTAGAGAGCTGAAAGATAATAATAGAGGTTCTCGTTTTAATGATAAGGAACCTTTTAGATTCGTATCAAAATAGGACAATCAGTACCAAATCTACCAACTCAGAGTCTCATAGACTACCGATGACTAAAGGTGTCCCTCAAGGATCCGTTTTAGGACCAATCTTATATTTATTATATATTCAAAATATCACGAAAATTGATACAGAATGTAATTACAATATTTATGCAGACGATACGGTACTTTTATACGAAAATAAAATCCTATCATTTTAGAAAAAAATGAACAAAATATAAATGTAAATCTCAGAATTAAAAATGAATCTCTGAAACAAACTAATGAGAAAAAGTATCTTGGGATTTGGTTTGATGATAAATTAAAGTAGGACAAACATATATAAATGTTTTGACGTAAAAAATATCTCTATTATTGGAGCCCTGGAGAAGATGTCCCAAGCTGAATGAAAAAGTTGCAAATATAATTCTATATTCTCATATAGTCAGTCGTATTAACTATTTGATAAATGTTTGGGGATACTGTTCAAAAAACAATTTTAATAAAATATCTGCATTATATAAAAGGACATTGGAAGTACTGTATCGTTTACCATATGATACACCAATAATATCATGAATAAAAGATTAAAATCTAATTTAATTTTAACACGAAACAATGGAATTCATAATCACCAAACTAGACAACATGGTTTATTTCATCTTGATATCGCTAATTCTTCGATAGGCCAAAAAACATTCACCCACGCTGCTCTCTTGAAATATTACAAATTACCAGCTAATATTGAAAATTACAGAAATACAATAAAATTCAAATACCAACTTGAAAAATTAATCATTTCTGAACGAAATAGATGATTTTTTTTTCAACTTTTGATTCATATTCGAATTGATTTTTGCTCACCATTATGAAATGATTTGTCAAAATTTAATGCTTAATGATTCCAAATATTATATTATTCATTAGTTTATAATAATTGTATTGTTTTAGTTATTATTTCGTTAACTATACTTCCTTATACCAGAACTTGATTCTGACTGGAAGTAACATTTTCAATAAAAAAAATAAAAAAAAAATGATGTAAATGATTTATTCAGCTATAGTCAGATATAAGGATCTAGAATAACCTATTCACAGTTCGTCTTTGTCATTGAATAATCTCTCATTCTCAAGAAACTCCAATTTATCCCAAATATGTCTGCCCACTATGGTTTCTTTTTCTTCAGCGAAATAACTATCAGGACTCGATATATGTAACTGGTTCCAAGGCGTGTACCTTTTTCTGGACAAAGGCTTCCAATCTGGAGATGTATTTGGTTTCCTGAAAATAATTCATTCTCATCGTCATCGCATGTTTATCCAATAATAATCAAACTGAACATCGAACGACCATCTTATAGTCGTTCTTGTTGATCATATCGAAGGTTTACGACAGACAAGAAAAGAGTGAATAATAATAATTTCAGTTGTTGTCAACTCTCACTCGCCGCGCGGACCAGGGTTGCCAGTCTGATTTTTATTCCATCAGTAAATACCTTGTCAAGAATTCAATAGATCTGTTCAAGATCTATTTCGTGCTATACGAATTTTAAGAAAGAATGGTGAAATAAACATATGACGTCAAAACATTATGTGCTTTCAGTAAACAGAAACGTAGTACCTATTTCCAACAAAATAGAATCAAACAAAACAAACATTCTCATGCAAAAATATTTATATTCCTATTTCTCAATGCAAAATTACTCAGAAATATCACTAAATACAGTTACATAGGTACTACTTATAAGATTCAGTACATAAAAAACAGGAACGAATAGTAGAAATGAGAAACAAAAATACAAAACAAATAAAAGAAATTATCGTGAGAAACAAACTGTTATGACAGAGGTATATGGGTAATTAAATTTGATCTGAATCAAATGAAGTATTGCCTTTTTTGCTTTATACACATCAGAAGTACCTATTACATTTATTACTTATTTTGAAAAATTTATTTAAACAGCTAGAACGTGCCGATATAACATGCAATTTATAGGTGTATGTGAATAGAGAATAATGAAAATATAGGTTATTATAATAATAAATAAGTGTCAAAATATTTTTCAGTAGATAATGGAATGTTTCAGTAGATCATTAGATCAATATGCAAATCAGGAGATCTCCTGAAAATCCAGTGAAACTGGCAAGCCTGCATCGGACGAAAAGTGTTTGAGGAGGGGAAGTGAGTGTCTGCGGACGAAAAGTACTTGCCTTCGGAAATAGTCGGTTTTCCGTTCGAAAATTAGAACTTGAAATGTGATTTTTTGTAGAAGCCAACGAAAAAATATCTTCATGTCTCCTTATGAACATTATTGTACTCACCCAGTGTTCATGAATGACAGGAACATGTCAACGAATATTTCACTCATTTTCCTATCAGCTTCAGTAGAAAGGGTATCCGTTTTAGTTTTGAGCACATAGCTCGTATCGTCAGCATGTGAGACTCCTGAAAGTATCGAAAAAGTATAGGAATTCGGCGCGACAAGAAAAAACAAATTTTTCACATAAAATTTCAACTCACAAGAGCTACTTCGATCTGTCTCATATTCTAATGAAACATCATGCTACTTCTTATATGACTTTTTCAATTTTTAGAAAATCTCGATCTTGAAAGAATTTGTTTTCTAATGTGCATAGTAAAAATTCACCTAATGTGATTTTTGCTCACTGTCATTAGGAATTTCCAAAGAACACGATTATGAGCAACAAAACCATATGAGGCTTCTTGATTCACACTGTAGGTGTTTGAAAAAATGATGTCCAAGATATCGATATCTCGACCATTGATACGAAAAGTTTCCAAACTTCGATGCCAGTCGATCAAAAATTGATCATCTTTGCACTTTCGATGCAATTAGTTCACTCCGTATATTCCATATTATATCAGTTTTATGATGTAAAAGGTACACTTTTTCATATAAATACTTCGTAGCCAAATTTGGCATAGAAAAATATCTAAAATAATCAAAGACTCTATAATTCATGGAATTCATCATTGGATTTTTATTCAGAGCTTGATAGAACAGAGCTTGAATAATTGAATTTGTTATCAGATATAGTTGATAATAGTGATCAGTACGATTGACTCAGCACGCCCTTTTTTACCTATGTTCACAGTACTGTTTGTCCTAAACTCCGATGCACTGTGTGCTCCTCTATAATCAAAGTAGTAACAATAAACAGGGGATTTCACAGCCATTGCATGTAATCTTCCAGCTTTCTCCAAGTCATTGAGAAATAGACGATCACTCAGTATCTGGAACAAATTTAGATTATGTATGTATATCGACACACTACAACTGTTTCACCACTAACCAAACCGATTTTGTATACTCCTAGGGTTCCACGAGACTCTCGAAATTCGAGATTTCTCGTCACGTCTCGTCTCGATTTCGAGACGAGATCGAGACGAGACTAACTTTTTTTTTGAGACGAGATCGAGGAAAGCACTTCGAGATTTTTCGGGATCGAGAAATTATTTCGAGATTTCTCGATCTCGAAAAAATATATGTGCTGCAATAACTCACAGCTCTAAATACTCAAGGAATGAAAAAATTAATTTCAATTCATTTCAAACATAATAACAGAAAATAACAAAAAAATAACAAAGATAACAAAGTAAATAAAAAGGACAAAGGTAAAAATAAATATCTTCATATTCTTAAAGAACTTTAACGTCTTAAACTATTGAAAATCATCAAATACAAAAATCAAATTTGAACACTCAAAAATTAACAAAACAAGAAAATAAATGAACAATAAACAAAGTTTTTCAACAGAGAACAAAATTGTTGTACAAACATAGTAAAAGTTGAGCCGATTCTCCAGTTAATCGGCTTCGTTCTTTTCTGATGGTAAGTGTTGCTCTTGAAAACAGTCTTTCTGCCGGAACTGGAGTAGCTTGAATACTCAAAAAATCATGAGCCATCTTTGATAAATTCGGATATATGGCCTCGTTTTTTCTCCACCACTCTAAAATATCTCGATTCCCTTCAGCACTCTTAGACAAACAATATTCATCTATTTCTTTTCTCCAGTTATGCGCTCTGTTGCCGTTGCTTTTTTTGAATAAACTTTCCAAATTAAAGGTAAAGCATTCATAGCATATAGCCTCTGTATTTTTCGTAATTTTTTTATAGAGAAAATTCAATACCCTGAATTTTGGTGCAGCCTTATAACCTATACATAGCATTTTTTAATAACGTTCAGTTTTTGTTTTCGAGACTCTCGAAATTTCGAGAGTTTCGAATCGAGATTGGGAAATTGTCTTCGAGAGAAACATCGAGACGAGAGTTTGTTTATTTCTCGTCTCGATGATCGAGACAAGACGAGAAAGTGCCTTCGAAAAGAGATTTCTCGTCTCGATGAAACCCTATATACTCCTCGACACGTGTTTCGCTATTTATGTTAACATCTTCAAGAGGAGACTGAAACTGTTTGAATCTCCTCCTGAAGATGCTAACATAGTTAGTGAAACACGAAAACGAAACAATGCGTATGAAAAATCGATATGATTAGTGGTAAAACAGTTGTTGTTAATTATCGCGCCAAATAATTAAGGTTTATTCAGTCATCGATTTATGTATATCGATGTTGAAAATGGCATGGTATATAATAGATGTTCAGTAACAAACCTGTACAAATTCAGGAAAACTTTCTTTATTGAGGTTACGAGTTCCCAAATAATCTAGTCGAATAATCTCACTAGTACTGTTTAGCTTATCGTTAGCTATTACATTATTGTAGTGCAATATATGCGGTATTATTTCATTCCAGTGTGTGTCCAAGTACTCAAGGAGTTCATTATTGTAAAAATCTGAAATGAAAAATCAATGATTTCAGACAGCTATCACTATAACGATGAAATTTGGAAAATAACAAGATCATGACTAAGCAAAGTTACTTAGTTGAAGGAATGAAGAATATTTCTGCAAATGGTGCGACTTCATGCATACATTTGGAGGATCATCACCCTATACATTATCTCTGATGAGTTGTTTCGGAACTGTGAAGTATGTCTGAGTGAGATAAAAATAAATATTCTATCCATATTCATGATATAATAATTATTCAGACATAATTCAATATTATGAATTCAATTCCAAACAGCTGAAACTCATCAAACAAAATTTGTCTTTATCAGTTGATAAATCAATTCGCAGAAACAAATATACGTTTGAAATATTGAAAGCTTTTAAGCGGCAATGTTTTCAACTGTTATATCCATTAAATATATGCGGAGAAGTGACACATTGGATGTTTTGGAGGAAGTGAGAAAGATGATGACCAATTGTGCTCAGCAGATCAAACTCACAGATTCTAGAGATATACCATAGTGAACATGAAGTCTGTTGAATTAAGTTTCAATAAGGCATTAATGGCTTTCTCTGAACCATCATTGATATTTCCTACGTTTGATTGTTTAGTCTCATCCTGTTTCTTACCTGATGCTGGATATAGTCCCTCTGAAGATGTATATGATATCAACCAAGGTAAGTCTTGAACTCTTCCATCTTGTAGCAGCTTATAAGGATGAATTGGTAGTACTGGATCACTTGACCAACTGTCAACTACTACACCGAATGGTGAAAATGGATTGTATAACCATGGCTGGAACACAATAAATCGGATGTTCCTTGAAGCTCCAAAATGTGAGATGTTCTAGAGGAAGCTGTACAACCCAGGCAACCAGATGACATTTCACTGACGTTTTTTTTTACGTCAGTTGAATGACCAAGGTGATGTTCAAATTTGGTGATGACACGTGAAAAAGTTTCCTCGAACATGGTGTCTGTATCAATAATGATGTAGTTTGTGTCGGAGAGATGTAAGCAAACCGCCAAGAATAGTTTGATAGTAATGAAAAGGATGTTGGCGAATTTAGCTTCACTTTTTTGAGTAACGTATATATTCATCAGGCATTATTTGTCACCCAACAAAAATCTAAATAGCAAATTATTGAAAAATTTTCTGAATGACGAAGCTCATTGAATTGGTACGTCATAGATAGGTCACTGCAACGTCATAAAAGTGATGGTTTCAATAAAGGTACACCTATATTATCACTTGTATATATACATATATAGCTTGATTGGTTTCCGAGATATACATGGTGTCAAAATTTAAAAAAGTTTTCTCTTACTTTTTGGGGTATATAATTCCAATAAAAGTAGCATGTTGATTTGTTTTGATGAGTTATGTGTGTAAAATTAATGAAAAACGATTTTTTTCTGAAAACCTATCGACACTGAAAATGCCCATCCTGAATATATAGGTACGTCACAATCCTAACGGTTTTACATGATAATGTAAGTATACATGGTTTAGAGATGGTCTGGGTAACATGGACGTCGACAGGACGTCTCTGCAACGTCATTTCACTCTTCTAAGTGACGTTCACTCGACGTCGAGATGATGTAGCGATTATCACGTAGTAGAACGTTTGTCATAGTAACGTCATAAATTGATGTGTGACGTCTCTGACGAAAAATCACCAATTAGGGACGTCACATAGTGACGTGATCATTCATCATCTGGTTGCCTGGGGGAGAGGAGGATAATTCATTTCTCTAAATTTTTTAGTTTTTCTTTCATCTTCTCTATAAATAGATACCTATATCACCTTGTTGTTATCATTTCAATATATCTGTATAGTGAGGATGATGATAAAATCCATTCGTGATAGAGCCACATCCTCATATCATCTGACCAACAGATTTTCAATAAGGATATCCACCACATCGAAAACGTTCTTCAACCCAACTCATATCCAAAAAACATCATTGGATATTTTTTGGTCAGATGATATGGATTTGGCTGTATCATGAAGTGATTAGATTATAATCTTCACAACTGCAATTACATTGAAATAATACTAATCTCTCCACTTATAGAAGAGAAAATCCCAGAAATTTATAAATACTCGCTAGTACGTTGTTGTTTTTTACTTGAAGTATCTGTAAATGACGTACCTTCAGAAATCAATTGTTGAATGAAATCGAATGAAGAAAATTGAATTAACTGGTATAGTTACCTGAAATTGTTTCACTGTATGCACTATTTGTCTAGCCGGCCGAGTTTTCAAACAACTGACCATCAATTTATTGTCTTCTGTCGGGCATCCCAGTGAGGATGATAAAATTTTGGCTGTTTCCAGAGGTTTCTCAACTAATACCCAAGGGTTGAGAGCAGAACCACTTTGGGATATACCTCTAGAGAAAAGACCTGGAAATTGATTGAAATTGTGGTCGTAAAATTATGTCATCGAATTCAAGTTTGCTGTCAGGTGACCTGACAGTCGATATCTTTGACTCCTGGTTCCAGCTCAACTTTTGTTGAACTAGATGATATCATGACAAAAATTTCAATTAATCTCATGTGTTTCTTAGGTATTATTTCCTAAAATAGGAATGCTTTTTTATGTTTGTAATAATTCGATAAAAAATATCAGAAAATCTTCTTTTCCACTTATGATGGTTAATCTGAGTAACCAACCAAGTCTTCATGGTTCCAATTTTCCTCGAACCAAGATTAACAATACTTTCCCCAGAGACCACGCAAGAGTTTCCCATTTATAATGCAAGGCAGCGTCTTTCAGTTTAACTCACCCTTAGATTTGGATAATAAATAATGTAATTGTACACTTGCACCACCGGCTGACATTCCATGAATAGTGATTGAATCGGGATTACCACCAAAATATTTGATATTGTCTTTGATCCATTTCAAAGCCAAAATTTGATCTTTCACACCATTATTTCCTGGTACGATGTCATCTTCGGTACTCAAAAAACCTAAAAAAACATGGGTAGGTACCAATGCAGCAATCTTCGAAAGTGTCATCGACGACAATGTTGAAATCAATGGGGGACTTCGCTCCGAGTTGCCAAGCTTAAAACCTCTATCAAAGTGATAGCAACATTGTGGAAGTTTTATTACTCAAATAGCTTCATTTTGATGAAATCTGATGATTTTAGGAGTCTACTCAGCTTACGGATAGAAGTTATTCAGAAGAAAAATTAATTTTTGTGAACTCCACTACTGATTAGTTGAAAATTATGTTGAAGCACCTGCTTTCATTCTGAAATATGTCATATAGTCGTCAATTATTTTATTTATGGACAACACTATTATTTATCATTATTTGGTAAAGGAGTTTGATCGTTGCAGTAGGAAGTAGGAATATATTTGTGTGCTAAAAATCGATCCGGGCATTAATTGATAAGAATAAAATAATGAAGTTTCAACCTTCTGAAAAATAACCCAAGGAAGCGTCTTCAAGTGGATAAACCATAACTGTTTGGAAACGAAGAAATCACAGTCGACATCAAAAATAGAAATAGTAACATACCTATGTAATAATAAGCGTTTTCCTAGTAAAAATATAACAATAAGGAAAATAAATCATTGAATAAATACTTTTGAAGCTTACATATGACTCATCTTGAATGAAAAATGGTCAAACTTTCCAATGATAAAAATACATATTATCTATCACAAATGTCGGAATACATCAACAATATCAAAATAAGATACCTTTATCCGAATAATTAGACACAGATAGTTTATTGGTAGCAGAAATCACAAGACTGTTCGAATATCACAATTTATTGGAGCATGATATACCTATTATGGGTAGTGGGAAAATATTCGTGGGAATCAATGTCACCATCAGGTGGCGCTCGGTTTTCATCGTTCCATGTCGAAGCCACGTCAAAACTGGGGGAAAACAAACTCAATCCTCACTCAATCCCATTAGTGCCATTAGCTTGTGTACTGTGTACTGATGAGAGTGATAACACTTCATGTCATCGACAAGTTTGACAACTACAGCTACAGCAAGATGTATGCAATGTAGTCTATGCACTTTATCCATAGACAATAGTTTGTTTTCCCCCAGTTTGAAGTTCGTATTATGTAACCTAGATGTCGCTCACTTCGTGAATCTCGCGAATAAATGAACAACAATAAATATAAAGACCTAATAAAAATGTTATGTTGATTACCATTATACGACGAGTCGAGAGTAGCACCAGACCAGATAACTTGGAACCCTCATATCCAGTTTATTATAGGTTTGCGCACGTTTCTCATGAGATTTTCTCGATCATTATTCAAAAGTTCGAACGTGATTCGAACATTACTGATAAAAGTGATTCAATGATATATACCATTTATTTACTCACGACACTACTGACACTATAGGAAGTATTGACATTTCAGAATCGACGTACCGCAGATGCACCAACATGATTTACCTTATTTTTCTCCTGAATAACTTTCATTAGGAAGCTGAGTAGACGGCTACAATTGAAAATTACACCAAAATAAAGCTATTTGAGTAATCAAACTTTCATAATATTGCTTCTACAAAGGTAGAGGTTTTTAGGTTGAACTTGGAGCGAAGTCCCCTATTGAATATTGTTTATGAAACTAGTTTTTGTCTTGAAATTTTGTCAAGTGCATGACAACTCTTATCCAAATTGTGGGAGATGTATTTATCAATTGCAGTTGGGATGGCGCCACTGCCATCTCACTGTGATCATTTATAATGATTCTCTTCCGTATGATGGAAACGATAAATGGAGATTCATATCGAAGATAGTGAACATTGTATTTCATAAAAAAAATTTAATGCTTCTTACCTAATGGTCCTAGACGATAGTTGAAGTTGACATAAACGACGTCTCTATCGAGAAGTATTTGCGGACCATACAAACCACCGTAGTTGAACATGAAGGCGCCTCCATGTATGTAGACCAGTACTGGCAAGCGATTTGATTGATTCAAAGCTGGGGTGTAGACATTCACATAAAGGCAATCTTCGTCTCCTATTGAAACCACAATTTCAAATAGAATTAATGAGCGCACCTCATTTGGAGTATGGACTCATTGCGACTATTTTCCATAGCTTGCCTTCATATCATGAAATGAAGTGCTCAACAATTGAAACAACATAGACAGGGGACATTTTCAAACTTACACTTGCTGTCCTCTCTCAAGAACTTATCAGGAGTATGGAGCTATCATTATCAATTGAGATAAAATATCGTTCTTTCTTCCCTTTATTCTTGTTTCATTTCATGACATGATAGAGACTGTGAAAATAGTGGCAATGATATATTGATGAGGTAAATAGTCACGTCGTACCTATAATATAGTCCCTAAATTCGACGTGGTAGGTATTCAACTTCAAAGCTCCACGATAAGAGATTGAAAAACTTATCTTGCCCTATCTTTGGTACATTTCATGGAGCAAAAATTCAAATTGATTTATACACGCCTATTATAGAACCAATGATATTTCTTCAATTTTCTAAAACCAACCAATCACCAGGAATTTGCAGGTATGATAAAGCTAGGGAGAGCTCCAAGGGAGGTCGAAAAAATTGCTCGAGCAAGCTCTCGCGATTTTTTCACACCGTTGATTATCGATTGTTTATTGTTTGCCATGACTGAACAATATATTTATCGATGAAAAACATTATCTCTTATGTATTCATCCCCCAAAACCTCTATGACATGACATACCAATGTGCTATATTCAGAAATAAACACGTTTTAGTTGTTGAAGAGTTCATTTGACGCAGTGTATCAAATTTTATTCCGAATTCTCTCTATATTGGAGTGCTCATATTAAACAGAAAGAAATAATATGGGATTCAGGGAGAACATACCTGATACCATATCTTCGTTTGGTGGAGTGAAATGATCGTATTGCATACATTTGAACATTGTTTTTGCCTTCATTATCCCAGTCCATGGTTCTGGAGGTGCAGCTTCCTGAAAGTGGATTGATAAAAAATATCAAAAAAAAATATCTTGTGTTCACTTTATTTTGAAAAGTCAGGAAATTACGTAATTCATTTATAATATAGGTATGATAATGATAATAATAATAAATGCTTTTATTGGTAGCTAAAATACAATAATGATGACATCACTACCAAAACCATGGGAAACATAAAAAAATTAGATAAAAAGACGTTTTCAAACGATTTGGCATATCAATAGTCAAATGGGCAGTGGCGTACCTACGGGGGGGGGGTGAGGGCGATATATATCCCCGCCCCATGGCCCATATGCCGATATGAAAACATCAGTTATAAACCTATGAAGTGAGAATAAGATGGGTTGAACTCTGGTGGGATCATTACATTCCATTTGGTCGTAAATGATCAGAAATATTCTAATTCTTTCGGTTTCATTATTCAAATAATTAGAGATACTGATCTGTGTAGCCAAATTGGTCAATTATGAATATGCCACAGAAATAGTTACGTCAACATTTCTGCGAATAGTGCAAGCATGTTTTTTCAGTATAGGTCGAATGTTCTTTGGCGGGGATTTTCGGTCTTGGGCTGTGATTCCCCGATATTATTCAGTCAGTTCGTTCATTCTAGGTATAATGATTAATGAGTTGTACGTTCGATAACAAGTAAGAGGTGCAGTTGTTTGAGTGTCCGATGTTTACGTACCTTTAGTGTATAATAATTAGATAATGATATGAAACAAAGTGATTTATCTTGATTTTTCAAAAGAAAATTCAACGATGATGATGATAGGGTGTGGCTTCTACATCAGCAACTGGACTGATGGAAGTGATTTGCCGTTACAGTTGGAGAATGAAAATTCCGCTTTTATTTCTCCCAATAAATATTTCGAATCTCTGGAACAAACCCATCCAGGAGATATTGGAAATTGTTGCAGTTCCTGATAAAATTAAAACAATCCAAACACTTTGGACTCCGCCACTTTCATATGAGATTCCTGGCCTGTTTGGAAATTTGTATTCAATATGCCTACCCAAATGTGCATAAACTTCTGAAAACATTCTGTACATTGCCAGTATCCACTGCGACACCAGAAAGAACCTTTCTACCTTTAAACGCATCAAAACCTATTTGAGGAACACTACCGCCCAAGTGAGGCTTGATGGCCATGCTATCAATTCATAGAGAGGTAGTCGTACCTCTGTTGATAGATGAAGAAATGACTCTCAAACCAAGCTAGGCGCTTAGATTCAATTTTGTAATGTTCAAAATTATTGTAGTTACCAATAATCTTCAATAAAAATATGTTTTGAAAACAAAATTATTCAACCCATTTTGAACAGGTTTGTTAAATGTTCGAATACGGAAACATACATCTTACACACAGCTTTTCAAATCCCCTCTGCCAAATTTGCACTGTTTGAATCACCCTGTACATAACAATTTCTGGTTCTGGGTCACCCTGTATAGACGAGTAAATTCAATTATTATTATCTTACCTCGAATCTGTATTGCCCTACCGGAGGTCGAGCATAGGGAATACCTTCGAACGCTTGATACCTTCTGCCCTTGACTGTTTCACCGGTGAACCCTTCTATGGTTCCCATGGGAGTTTTGACCAATGGCACCGAAGTAGTGCTTACTAAAACCAGCAAACTTATGATTTATGCATAGGAAAGCAAAACCAAAAAATGAACGAGATCACCCACAAATAATATGTACAGATTGACCCATTTGAAAGCGAGCCATATTTTTTTTTCAATTGTAGAGGGATGAAAGGTGTATTTTGGAGCTTAGCGGCGTCCACTTTTTTTTTTTAAACAAAGGCCTACCAGATCCCATTCAGAAAATTCAAAAAATTTGTTTTTCCTGACCCTTTCTTTCAAATCTGTGAGGAAGCAAATGAAATTCCGATCAAGAATTATAACCACCTACAGTTCTGACTGCCTTGGATTCCAAGCATTTTTTACGGTTTTTGTAAAAATTCAGCTCATTCTGATAAGACAACGGACGATATTCAATAATCAGCAGTATTTAGCTTCAGTTTCCTGTCCTTTATTGATCTTGCAGTTATTGAAAATGAAAAATGAATGATTTCAGAATACTAAAACAGTATTTTATTGTCCATACTGACTCCATTCTCGTTTGAAGTATTCAATACAGTTTTTCATCGAAGTATTATGGCCAAATGGTATTAACTCCATCAAATTGACTTTTTTTTTGGAGAATTAGTGAAAAACTTTTGAAAATTTGGAAAAGGGATTTGAGAATATCCACATTCTACTATTGAGTTTATTTGTTCCTTTGATAGTTATTGAATACATATTTTATGTCAACTTACTGTCTATAAAATTTTTCAAATTGCTCTGCTGTAAAATTTGATAAATGTGAGTTAATACAGTTTGGCTCTCAGGTAGAGATATGGAAATAATACTAATATTTTTGAGGATACAAAATCCCAAGAAACTACAGAAATTGATTTTCCCTCCTCCTCAATTCACCTATAGACAGGATTATTTGAAAAGAAACCAAATCGATGACATTTTATGGTGATCAAAGTTACCTAAGAACAATAATTCAAGAAATTCAAATTGTTTGACACATCTCAAATATTGTTGGGTGAATGATAAAAAAACACGAGAAATCATTCATGAAAATAGGTAAATATTACATATGTATAACCAATAGCATGAGAAAAATTCAACAGTTTACCTTCGAATATAATTTGTAATATGAAACATATTATTATACTCTTCATCCTCGTACTGCACTCGATAAACTTCCACAATAAACAAGTTTATGAACAGAAAGTTGACCTGTTTTATTTACTCAATAAGTTACTGAACATGTATATTTATCAAAGAATTTCAATAGCGTCCCAATAAGGGAGAATTGTTGATATCATTTTGTAAATGTGTTAGTAAGGCCTTATCATGCTCTGATGTTCACCCTCATAACTTTTTCTTTTGCTCCACTATTTTCGGAAAATCTCAGGAGCATTTTTCTAGTTTCCGTATTTTTTCCAGGAACCAAAAATGTAGTTGGACAATATTTTCGCAATTTTGTTTGATATGGAGACTTCTTATTGAACAAACAAAGTTGAACAAAGGGTAAAATTGTGTGTACTTTGTAATATTCAGAATATTAACAAAAGAAGGCTATAGTTCACAGTCTTTATTACGAGCAAATTCTCAAACGGTTTAGGCTACAAGTTATCATCAGGAGTAATTTCTGAAAGAGAGTGAAGATTAAAAAATCTGGATTGGAGTTATTATGTAATGGGTTAATGAATTTGATAAATTTTAATAAAGTTCTTCTCACTTTTGTCAGAAAGTTTTTACAAAAGATTAAAGCACAAAAAGAACATTCTTGTGTGCTCCACACTGGAGAATTCAAGTTTCAATTGTTCACATTTTGAATCTCAAAATGTCAATATGAGATTTCATGTGATCACTAACATTGCGATATGGATATTTTATTCAACTCTTGGAGGTCACGAAAGAAAATTCCTATGATGGAGGTAGATGTTTGAATTCCTTGGAACTTTTGGAGGTTAAAAGTTCGTGGGGTTACTTCCATTGGCGAAGAATTCCAAAGCCTTTATATATTGCTAGTGATGGAATTATAGCTGAAATTTCTAATGGAATGTTTTGTCTTACATTGAATTTGTCAACAATACAATAATATACGTATCTATGATGTCACAAGTAGGTAGGTAGGTATACATTTTCATTTCTATCTCCTTGTATTTGTTTATATGTATTCAGAAGTTTTTACTCCCTTGGTTTCTTAAGTTGTTCGTGGAACAAAACCGATCGTGTTTTCTTTTAATTCAATCTAGGAACATACAACGATATAGGTAAATAACTCTTGAAATTTGTCATTTATACAGGGTGTCTCAGAATAACGTTCGTAGACTCCGGGAGGTCAATCTACAGATAAAAATAAGAAAAAATGTTCATATCAACAGGTGTCCGAAAATGCATCCCAAGGGCGCTACAGCCCTTTAAAGGTTGGTCCCTAAATGCAGTTTTCTTCAATTATCTTTGTCACCATTGATCCTAGAATCATGAAATTTTGTATCGATAGGTAATTTGATCTCATAAATCGTTTGAAGGAATGGAAAGAATGATATAATATACAGGGAGGTTCGAAACTTGAAACCCGTGCTATGAAAATGTCTCAATTTTTTTTGTCTCACACTGTATCTTCTTGCTAGTACCAGAATATGATTTTCCAAACACTTCTTCATAAAAAAGGTACTCCTGATGGAATGCCGTAAAACGAACCGTTCTCAAGAAAACTGTTATTTTTCTTTTTGATATCCGAAAGAATTCACGTCAGGAATGAGATATCTCAGAACATGTTGTGGAAAATGCAAATAACTCTCACCATTCAAACGATGAGGCAGTACGTAGGGACCTATCGAATAGTTATCGATTATTCCTGCCCGTACATTGATAGAAAATGTGTCTTGGTGATTTGATTCAAAAACTGTGTGTGGGTTCCCATCAGCCCAAATATGAGTATTGTGAAAATTGAATACTCCATCTCTGGTGAACCCTGCCTCATCGGTAAAAAGGATACTTTCCAGAAAAGTTGGGTTTTGAAGACAATCATCAAACAACCAATTGCAGTATTGTAACCTGGGCGCTAGATCTTGAGGTTTGAGAGCTTGAACTCTCTGCACATGGTAAGGGTAGAGTAATTGTTCATGAATACTTCTCCACACTGAACTTTTTGAGATACCTTCTTGGGTAGAAATTCTCCTAACACTAATCCCTGAGTCTCCTGCAATCAAATCCAATACTCGCTCCTCCGTTTCAGCACTCCGAGTAGTGCGATGTTGACCACAGTTTCTTTTTTCCGGTTTCTGTCCCTTCACTGCATTGTCTGCAGATAAGTTCTCCACTGTACAGTCCCATTGTTGTGTGTGTTGTGACCAGTGAGAAGTCCCGTTATTTTTCTGACTTGGTTCCTACTCATCTCAATAAGTAGTTCTTCAGATTCATTTTTCGACGGTTCTTTGATGAATACTTTCCCGTGGTGCATATGAGGGGCTTCAGTCCATCACTCCTTATGTTTTCGCTTGATCCAGTTCCGTATATAGCCTCGGGTAGCTGTTTTAGTAACCTCGAGTATACGGGTTCTTGCTAGTTCATCAGCTTTTTCGTTCCCTACGATGCCGCAATGTCCTGGAACCCATAACAGGGTTATTTTGTTATGTTCTGACAGGACATTGAGTTCTTCTCTGCATTCCTGTACCAGCCTGGATGTCACTCTCAGGTTCGTGAAAGCTTTCAGTGATGCCTGGCTATCGGTGCATATTTTGATTCGTGCAATGCGCACTACCCTCATATTGTTTGTTCTTGCACATTGCAAGATTGCGTATATTTCCGCATGAGATACAGAAGTGTTTATTACCAGGGAGATGCTCATTTGGGAGTTTATCCCTTCACTGTAAATTCCAGCACCAGAGCCTTCCTTGGTCTTGGACCCGTTGGCATAAAAAAATATATGAATAATCAAAGACTCTATAATTCATGGAATTCATCATTGGATTTGTATTCAGAGCTTGATAGAACAGAGCTTGAATAGTTGAATTTACTATCAGATATAGTTGATAATAGTGATCGATTGACTAAGCACGCCCTTTTTTACCTATGTTCACAGTACTGTTTGTCCTAAACTCTGATGCACTGTGTGCTCCTCTATAATCAAAGTCATAACAATAAACAGGGGATTTCACCGCTATTGCATGTAATCTTCCAGCTTTCTCCAAGTCATTGAGAAATAGACGATCACTCAGTATCTGGAACAAATTTAGATTATGTATGTATATCGACACACTACAACTGTTTCACCACTAACAAAACCGATTTTTTATATTCCTAGGGTTCCACGAGACTCTCGAAATTCGAGATTTCTCGTCTCGTCTCGTCTCGAATTCTAGACGAGACTAACATTTTGTTTTCGAGACGAGATCGAGGAGAGCACTTCGAAATTTTTCGAGATCGAGAAATTATTTCGAGATTTCTCGATCTCGAAAAAATATATGTGCTGCAATAACTCACAGCCCTAAATACTCAAGAAATGAGAAAATAAAAAACTTTGCGAAAAAATAATTTCAATTCATTTCAAACATAACAACAGAAAATAACAAAAAAATAACAAAGATAACGAAGTAAATAAAAAGGACAAAGGTAGAAATAAATATCTTCATATTCTTAAAGAACTTTAACGTCTTAAAAAACTATCAAATACGAAAATCAAATTTGAACACTCAAAAATTAACAAAACAAGAAAATGAATGAACAATTATTAACAAAGTTTTTCAACAGAGAACAAAATTGTTGTTTACACGACACTCGTAAATATATCTCTGGTACATTGCCAAGAATTCAAACATAGTAAAAGTTGAGCCGATTCTCCAGTTAATCGGCTTCGTTCTTTTCTGATGGTAAGTGTTGCTCTTGAAAACAGTCTTTCTGCCGGAACTGGAGTAGCTTGAATACTCAAAAAATCACGAGCCATGTGAAAGCTTCCAGTGACGCTTGGCTATCGGTGCATATTTTGATTCGTGCAATGCGCACTTCCCTCATATTGTTTGTTCTTGCACATTGCAGAGGATTGCGTACATTTCTGCTTGAAATACGGAGATGTTTATTCCCAAGGAGAAGCTCATTTGGGAGTTTCTCCCTTCACTGTAAATTCCAGCACCAGAGCCTCCCTTTGTCTAGGACCCGTCTGTATACCAGATCTTCTCTCCAGGTTTGCCCTTGATGTTGTCATCTGTCCATTTCCTTCGATCTTGCATGATCACTTCGAAGTTCATGTTGAAGCAGTATATTGGGGTAATGTGGTCTGTTGATGATACTCTTCCCTAGTCATATTCAGGAAATAGTTATTTGTTTAACTAGGCAGCAAAGTAGTAGATTGACTGATGCCGAGGCTGAATTCATAGCCGAGCGTAGCGAGGCGAGGAATCCAGCTAAGGCAGTCAATCTATTTTGCTGCCGAGTTGAAGATATAATTTTTCGTCCGATTGTTAATAATGATATATATCTCTTTATTTTTCCTGTAGTGTTCAATTAAAATAAAATTTGATAGAAAACGCAGTTATTGGAATGGTTGGTTGCAATGGAAATGTCCATAATAATTATAGTTTGACAATTCATGAAATTTCTGACAGTTGTGCGAAAAAATATCGGTATATTTAAATTATTATATAATGGACAGTGAAAGCAACCTGGAAGTACTCAAACCTCCAGAAATAAGGGAGGTGGCAAAAAATATAGAGTTGAATTTGTTGCCGGAGAAGTCTCGGATGAAATATGAAGGAAATAATGAACGATTTATGGATTATTAATTTTGCTGATACATATCAATCAGCAAAGTAACCACTTTGCTGCCTAGGCAGGAAAAGTAATACTTTGCTGATTGATATGTGTCAGCAAAATTAATATTTGCTGCCAATCGGAGAAAAATGAATATAATGCACATAAGACAGTGCTTCCTGAGTCAAAAAACCAAGAAAAACCAGATGCTTTAAAGTGGTCAAGATCGAGCAATAATCAAAAATTGTCAATCTTGTCATTTTTTCATAGATTTAATTGATCTGAGTAAAATGTTGAATACTTAATAACCCCTGTGCCTTCATTTAAGCACCGCCTCTGTGGAAAATTCAAGAATATACATAGACTATACATACTCCCCACCAGAACAAAGATAATTATCGTGTTTCGAAATGTTTCGATGCATCAATAATTATGTATATAAATAACATCATTATAAGGAATGTAGTATAATAATTAGAGATAAAAAAAATTGGCGGTGGTCAGATGCAATAAACATGTCGCATATCGACAGTGATAGCGCAATAAGAGAACACCATCCATATTCTTTGCATCTGACTTCACATTACATAAATATTGAAGAATGATTTTCAATATAACTACCCGCAGTAAACCATTTTGTGTTTCTGAAACGTTTTTGAAACTAACTCTTCGAAATATGAAACATTGCACCTAATATGCTCTGAAACATTCATGAGATATTCTCTAGACCATAAATGACCTAGGGCGTGTAATGTTACATTGAGACAAATCGGGAATGAAAAGTAATATACATGTATAAAATTGAGTCATCTCAACACAGAGGCTTTCAAACATTTTTACAGAAAAACATCATCTCATACATTATTCAATGTATTATACAATTTGCACCTGATGAAATAAAAACTCCTTTGATAAAGATCTATGGATAAAGTGCACAAGAGTGAGAATTGGGTTGTAACAAATTGCAGTAGCGAATGATATGAACATGCTTTGGTATAGGCAAGTTGCAATGCTGTTCATTTTATAGAAATATATACATACTTTCTGAAATATATATGCTGTACAACAGGATTTTGTGTTTCTTGAAGAGTTTTCTACAGCTAGTCCTCGTGTCAGTATTTTCAATAATACGTAACACATATTTTTGTAAAATATACACTCTGTTTGCTGTGGCACTATTTCCCCACGTACTTAAGTATTCCATATCTGTATTGGAGTGAAAGTTGGCATAATATAAAGTTACCAGAATTTGTTTACTAGAGTGATTTTTCATATATTCGATGCTGTAGCACGAACTACGTAGTTCTTTGCATATAGCTGGTCAATATGCTTAGTCCATAACAGCTGCCTATCGAAAGTGATTCCTAACAATTTCACATTTTCAGAGCAGGACAATTCTTCTCCAGTGTTTTTGAAGATGATAGTGGATCTTGCCTTCTACGTCCGAAATATACCAACACTGTTTTTTTGTGGTTTGATAGCAAGTTGTTATTTCTCGACCAAATATGTACATTATAGTATACTCTTTCTGTGGAATTATTGAGTGATTTTTGATTGTCACCAGAGATAATGATGTTAGTATCATCTGCGTAACAAATAATCTTAACATTTGGAATATTTTCGACACAATATATGAGGTCATTCGCAAATATGTTGAAAAGTAGAGGACCCAGAACTGATCCCTGTGGAACACCCTGTGTGATGCTACAAGAAGGACTACGAATATCATTGAGTAAAACAACCTGGTTTCTATTGACGAGATAGGATTGGAAAAATTTCAGAGGAATGCCTTTTATTCCATATCTTTCAAGTTTAACCAGTAGGATGCTATGGTCAACTACATCAAAAGCTCTCGAAAAGTCTATGAAAAGTCCACTTACGTGGTCAACTTTGTCCAGCCTTCAAACGAGTTCAATTTGAACAGTATTCAAAGCTGTATCAGTAGTCATATTAGTACAAAATGTTGACTTGATGATAATAGTTTATATTGATTCATGAATGAGTACAGCTAATAGCTCTGTACTTGGCAAGATCATTGCAATCGCCTTTTTTATATAGTGGCATTATCTCGGCTAGTTTGAGACAGTCTGGAAAAGTGCCAGATCTAAACGACTCATTTATCAAGAATATTTATCATATCATATGAACTTTTTTTACTATTTTTGTTCCTAGAATCTGTGGTTGGATCATTTCTATGTAATTTCGGGACACCCTGTATACTCTGTACTAGGTGGTTCGAGTATTAGTTATACTTCCTCAACAAATATGAGAAAAATTGATTAAGCACCCTGTATGTTGATTGTGAACTCTGTAAAATGTATGCAAAATTCAAAACCATGACGGTTATTCCTATCAACTGTTGATTTGTGTCCAGATTCCAATGGAACAAACAATTTGGGATGCAACCTAGGTTCTTTCCATCTGCAATAAATCTTCTTGAAGTGATATAGTCTTTTTAAACAGGGTTCCGACTAAAGAAAATAATGTACCACACAGTGTAATTATAAAATGGTTTATTCAGTGGACAATTGATAAAAAATTAGCTAATCAGTTATAAAGATATTCAACGTCCTAATCACAGCTCTTCTTTGTGTTTGAATAATCTCTCATTCTCAAGAAACTCCAACTTATCCCAAATTTTTTTGCCTACTATTGTTTCTTTTTCTTCAGCGAACAAACTATCTGGACTTGATATATGTAACTGGTTCCAAGGGGTATACCTTTCTCTGGACAAAGGCTTCCAATCTGGAGATGTATTTGGTTTCCTGAAAATAATTCATTCTCAAGAGCAAATTTAATAGACCAAGCGAACTCGATATAGGAGACTTTGACTGGAATAAATTCGCTACTGGGGGAGTGAATTTCACTTTTATGAGACCTTTCAAAGTGAAAGGAACTGATATTTGACTATAGTACGCTGGATTCCTCTTTCCACTAGCTTTCCAATGAGGGGTGACAAGCCATAGGGTTCGATTAGATTAGATTTAGAATGGGGCCTTCGGGCTATCTGCCTCCACACCGCGACCTTTTCAGATCTATTGTGTCTGCCCTCAAAATCGATTAGAGTTCTTCTTCTCTATGAGACTCCATAGGCTAGCTTCCAGATCTCCTGTGTATCTTTGGGCTTCTGGTTTTTCCTCACCCAGTGTAAGGTACCTTAGTCTTGACAAGCCCTCACAGTGGCAAAGTATGTGTACTGCTGTTTCCTCTTCTTCCTGACAGAACCTGCACAGCAGTTCTTCAGTCAGACCTATCGTACTCATGTGTTTGTTGAGCCTACAATGCCCTGTGAGAAGTCCCACTAGTATTCTAGTTGAACTTCGTTTCTGGCTCAGTAGATATTCTGTGAATGTTGGCGATGGTTCTTTAATAAACTTTTTTGCCTGTCTCATACCTGGCGAGTTGTTCCACCATTCTTGAGATTTGGTTTGCATCCATGATTTGATACTAGTCTTTTGTATAGCTTTCGCAATACCACACAAGGGTTCTGGGCCATTCAGAGCTTTGTTTGCTCCTGCTCGGGCAAGTGAGTCTGCCTCTTCATTACCCTCGTACCCTGTATGTGCTGGTACCCATGCTAGAGTCAGTCTGTTCTGACTGCCCAGTTCATTTAGGGTTTCTATGCAGTCCCATACTAGCCATAGGGTTACATTTGAAAAAATCATGTTGAGGGTGGTTCCAGCTACCCCTGAAGGGATATAATCACGATATTGCTTGCAAAAAGTAAGTAAATACATCAAATCGTTGACGTATGCCAGGCATTTTTAGAAAAAATATTCACCTTCCCGCTAACGAATAAATTCCAGTTAAAGTCTCCACACTGTATTCATAGATAGTTTCAGTACTATATTTACTGTGAATACGGAATTTATCAATAGAACGGTTTGCGAAAGTGAACTAAACTACGCAACACTAATTTCGTGGCACCCCACAATTTTGCCTCTGTTGAAATATGAATAACATTTTTCTGCTTTGAACGATTTGCAGTCGGATCACACTATTCGCTAGCTCAGTCCTTCAGCTATAATCTCATGATTCTCAAAAACATAAGGTTTTTCATATAAAATCGCTACAGGGTGTTACCCGAAACTGTGCAAAATTTCGGAAATTTCAAAAATATCCCAAATGAAGGAAAAATTTATTTTTCAACTTTGGCAGTGGAGGCATTCAGATGATCTCATTATCTTATGACAGTTTCCGAATTGTCTCCTTACCTCTTTTATTCACAGTTCGATCTCAAAATATTAACTTTTTGGTTTTGCAGTCTTAGCTTTCTTCCTCGTCAACTGATTTTTGAAATCTCAGTTGAGTTGAGTTGGGAGTTGAAAATCACTATCATAATCAAGATAAGGTCGTCCTTTTCGCTTCCTCCTGCAAATTTCAGAACCCTACCTCAATAATTACATGAGATACGGGGGTGCTTCCATGAGAAGTGAGACAAAATTTGATTTTTCTGAACTGAAAATTTTCCAGAGATAATATGTATGGTCAGTGAATTGGACGTCCTTATTTCGAATCCAAAGTGATTTTCAACATATCTTGGCTCCTAATAACATTGTCCGGAAATTTGGGTGGTTCCATAGCTGTTGGCGAGCAGTGTTTATCACTGGAGATGACTCCACTCGGTCATAGTGTTCATTTTCAGTATATTTCCCGATCTTGAAGTTTCAGACTCCTAACTCAACAATTAGATAGATAGATAGATAGGATTTTATTTATCATGAAGATAATACATACATATGAAGGAAATATTACAGGAACCTTGTGAAGATAACAAACAGAAAGGTAATGAAATTAATATTATAATTATAATATAGTAAATATGATCAATCAATGAACAGATATACTGAATAGATGATCATACTGATTTCAAAATTTGATCAAAATTTGGTCACTCTTATTGAGACGACAATATGATGGACATATAATAATTTCAAGAATGAGGTCATTTTGTATAGGTTTTTCTATCTTTTATATGTTTGATTAGAGATGATTTGAACTTTATTATAATAGATATATTTCTGATATCGTCAGGTAACGCATTATATTCAATCATACCAAGGTAGAACAGACTATTCAGTGTACAATTTTTTGACACAGAGTTCACATAATAGTTGTCTCTAGATCTGGTGTTATATATGCATGTATGTACATCGGAAACTTTAACTAGATGTGGAAACAAGTACTAGGGCAATATTTTATTAACCATTTTGTGAATGAAGATCATAGTATTTTTGTAATATGTATCCTTCAAGTTCAACCAGTTGAGTTTATCGAGCATATTCTCTATACTAGTATACCTGTCGCTTCCAATAATTATTCTCATAGCGTGATTCTGCAATTTCTGCAGTCTATCTAGATTGACATTAGATGTATGAATTATGGAGCTACAATAATTGAAATGAGGCCATATAATCGAATTATAGAGGGTAGATTTCGTTTCCATGGAAAGATGCTTACTTATCCTATATAAAAATCACGAAACATATACAGGGGTGCTTCCATTAGAAATGAGACACAACTGTATAATGTTCATCTTGAGTTAATGTTGATCTTCATATGTCTTCTTCTGACGTTTCAGCTTCAAAATGAAATTCTAAAAACGGGTTGACAAGGAAAAAAGTTATGACTGCAAAACCAGAAAGTTAATTTGATAAGTTGTAAATAAAAGAGATAAGAAGACAATTTGAAAACTGTTCTTAGGTAATGAGATCATCCTCATGCCTCTGCTATCGAAGTCGAAAAGGAGAAGTTTTCGTTCATTTGGGATCCGTTTGAAAATTCCGAAATTTTTCACAGTTTCAGAGGTGACACCCTGTAGCGATTTTACATGAAGAACCTCATGTTCGTGATTATGGCTGGAGGACTAGGCTAGCGAACAGTGTAATCTGAATTCAAATTGTTCAAAGCAGAAAAAAGTTATTCATATTTTAACAGGGACAAAATTTTGGGGTGCGACGAAATTGGTGTTGCGTAGTTCAGTTGGGGTTAGTACTTCGAAAAAATGAAATAAAATGTTTCACTGCAACAGGCCCTTATTGTACTTACCCAGTGTTCATGAATGACAAGAACATATCAACAAATATTTCACTCATTTTCCGATCAGCTTCAGTGGATAAGGTATCTAGTTTAGTTTTGACCACATAGCAGGTATCGTCAGCATGTGAGACGCCTGAAAATATAGAAAAAGTAAGATGTCGAAGGAATGTTAGACCAGGGCTGAAGCCTTTGGAAACGGTAAAGAGTGAAAAAAAATGAATTGCCTCGGCCGTTACTTCAAGGAAATCCATGGCAAATGTAAAAACTTCACAAACGATAAGATTTCCACAAACTTTTATATATTCTTCTCTCCCAACTTGAAGGATTAGTTAGCAAATACATATTATTACCTACTAAGAAAACAAATTCAACAGTGGTGAACTATTGACGTATGATTGATCTTTAAGAAAAATACCAAAGAAGGGAAGTGTTGTATTTCGTGCAAGATAATTTATTCAAATTTATATTCATATAGCAGAGCGCTTTCGACTGTTGAGTCATCATCAGTGCATACTCGTCAGGTTAACAGGGACATTTGTCCATAAAAATATCTCTGGTCCAGATTAAAACTAACGACATCATGATAAAATACAGTACAAACATATTAAAATGTGTTTCCCAAAATGGGGTAAAATACAGATTACATTTTGTTAAGCAGCCATTGTCGCTGCGACATGTCGTGTTGAAGTGAACTTGACGCCAAAGAATTGAAATATTTTAACTTCATCGCGTCAAATATTTTTCGAGAAGCAAAAACGCTGCATTGGGAACTCACCATCAATCCCCATCCAGTTGAATCCTCATCAATTTCGACAAAGAATAAAATTCAAGATGAAAATATAGATAAAATTAACATGTTTCAGAACGGCTATGCTTATTTATCTGGATAACTGTTCGTTTCTCAGGAAGAATTGAGAAGCAATAAAGCCTCTAAATCCACCCTAATAAGGTAACTGGAAAATGTCACAGGCGTACAACAAAAAAGTTTGGGGTGGATATAGAAACCTATCACTCCAAAAACGTATCAGCCTATAGCTTCAAAAACTCACTGGAATGCTCAAAATGATACATTCCTATGAAGTATTCACCGCAACAAACTTCCAATTGATATCTTCGAAAGCGTGATATTTCAATAAATAGAAAAAAATAACTAGACTTTGACCCCTTGTAGATCCGCTACTGATGGAGATGAGACTCATGTTGATGAAAACTTTTTCAATAGAATAGATGTGATCTATCAGCTATTTCAGTTTGTACCTCAGAACCTGAATCACCATGTATATAAGCCATATCAAGCTTTACAAGGTGCTCAATGTATATAAAATATTTATGGAATTTATTGCAGTATTTGGTTGGGCAGCATATTAGAACATACAGCTCCAATGATATTTCAAATTCTGTAAACTTTGGTTATGTTGATCGGTACGATTGATGGTGAAAAACTGCGAGCATCCTAAGATTATCGAAGATTACTAAGCACGCCTTTTTTACCTATGTCATGGAAACCATCCATTCTCAAAGTGGTCCATTATTTTTCAACAGGAGAAAAAAACGAACTCATAGTCGGTCGACCACAATATTTAACATGAAAATAATAAGCGTGTGATTATAGTTTCGGCTCTACGGCCATCTTCAGACACAATGAAAAAAGTTCCTCTTATGTAGAAAACATTAATCCAGCCTCGCATTGAATGGATTGATCCTTCGTTATAACGACCGGATAATTAATTTTTCATATTGTTAAGATGTTTCCTACATAAAACGTACTTTTTTCATTGTGTCTGAAGATGGCCGTTGAGCCGAAACTATAGTCACACACTGATAATTTTTACAATGAATATTGTGGTCAACAAATTTTGAGTTCGTTTTTTTTTCGCCTGTTTTTTTTTACCTATGTTTTCAGTACTGTTTGTTCTAAACTCCGAATCACTATGTGCTCCTCTATAATTAAAGTAGTAACAATAAACAGGTGATTTCACAGCCATGGCATGTAATCTTCCAGCTTTCTCCAAGTCATGCAGAAACAGACGATCACTCAGTATCTGGAACAAATTTAAGATATTTATGTATCGATGTTGAAAATTTCGAGAACAATATAATTGTTCAGTAACAAACCTGCACGAATTCAGGATAACTTTCTTTATTGAGGTTACGAGTACCCAAATAATTTAGTCGAATTGTCTCACTGGTAATGTTTAGTTTATCTTCTGCTATTACATTATTGTAGTGCAATATATGTGGTAATATCTCATTCCAGTGTATGTCTAAGTATTCGAGGAGTTCATCATTGTAAAAATCTAGAATAAAAAATTCGAATAAAATTTTCCACATTCAAACGATACAAACAAGAATTTATTTTTGAAACTGTCATAACTGGAGGAGGTCACCGGATTTGTTCAATTTCAAGATTCTAAATAGCTGTCACTATAACGATGTATTGAACTTTCCCAATAACAGAGGATATCCTTCTGGAGCCAATTCAACCAAGAAAAATGTCATTGTTGTACATTTTATGAACATTAGTGGAAATAACTTTGAGCTTTTTTGTATTTATTTAACATTGCATTCCACTCTGAGCATTGTGGCTATATCTCGTAGTTGGAATGTCAAGAATGTTGTAAGATTATGACTAGCAAAGTTATCCTCAGTTAGAGGAATATAGAACATTTTCGCCAATGGTGCGACTTCAAAGTTCTGAAGGATCATTATCCTACATTATCTCTGATGAGTTGTTTCGGAACTCTGGAGTATGTCTGGGTAAGGTGAATATTGTATTCTATTCAATTATCATAATAAAATAATCATACAGACATCATTTATTCGATTCAAAACAGCAGAAACTCATCAACAAAACTTTTCTTTGTCAGTTGATACGAAGTCTATTCAGTAAATTCAAAAATAAGCATCCATTGGCAGAAACAAATATACCTTCGAAATATTGAGGTTTTGCAGAACACTTAATTCACATGTAATGTTTTCAACTGTTTTTTCCAAAAATAAATGCAAAGATGTGAAACACATTGGATGTTTGAAAGAAGAAGTGATGAGGATCATGACCAATGTACAGTCGTATTCAATAAAAAAGCGTACAAGTATTAAAAAGAGAGGATTTCGCTTGCTTTGCGTCTCGGTTAACTAAGTAATCTCACGACAGGAATGAATCACTTCCCACCTCGGTGAGTAATATACTATTCCATCACAGCACTGATAAGTTTTCGAGGTTTCCGCAGTTCCTACTTAAATGCCAGTAGCATCATAAATCATGCAAATACAGCATTGCCTAGACATCTTCCTGCTTCCATTCAAGTATAGGTAGATGATTTTTATACTTGATAAACTATTTCGTGATAATGTTTCTCCCTCGGGTTTTTTATTCACAAAGTTGACAGGAACATGGAACATTCTTCGACTAGGAATAAAAAATGAATAACTCAGTTTACTTACTTCACGTAGATGTTTCTGAAATACAGCTTTTCTTTATTTTCCTATTCAATGAACAGACAATATTATAGCTCTTGCGTACTAACTACCTAGCTAGGTTGTCATCAAGAACGACAATGGTTTCTCACCTGATGCTGGATATAGCCCCTCTGCAGATGTATAAGATATCAACAAAGGTAAGTCTTGGACCTTCCCATCATTGAGCAGCTTAAGTGGATGAATTGGTAGTACCGGGTCACTTGACCAACTGTCTACTACCAACCCGAATGGTGAAAATGGATTGTATAACCATGGCTGAAACACAATATATCGAATATTGATCAGAATTCTGAATCTTGAACCACCCTGTATCTGTTTCGATTGAATATCAGTGAATAGTGAATCAAAAGTTGAGATAGGGACATGTGAGTCGTTTTGACCGATAATAAATAGTTTCGACACAAAAAATCGTGAAGTTGAAGTGTTTCATTTGAAATATCAACGTTGCTACTACTTTCTAGTAGAAGCGGCAACATTTGCACATTTTGATGAATTTCTTCCGACTGATTCTCGATATAAAGATAGTGTAAACTCGTCGTGTCCATATACATTTACGAATTATTCTATTATAGTCACCTGAAAAAGTTTCACTGCATGCACTATTTGTCTAGCCGGCCGAGTTTTCAAACAACTGACCATCAATTTATTGTCTTCTGTCGGGCATCCCAGTGAGGATGATAAAATTTTTGCTGTTTCCAGAGATTTTTCAACTAATACCCAAGGGTTGAGGGCAGTGCCACTTTGGGATATACCTCTAGAGAACAGACCTGAAAGTTGAAAAAATCGACTTATTCTTCATTTATATATAGTTGGGGAGACAGCGACATTTTTTCTTTGGAAAACTGCACTTATCATGCGATGGTTCTTTTTTCGCAAATTTTTTTTGCTAATTTAGTCTGAAAATCACGAATTTAATAATGAAAATGTAAAGCATTATTACCCTGTTACCAAGAGGTCCCGTGGTAATTATATTCTACGCGAATGTGTATATCAAATTGTTTTCACGACTAGCAATATTTTTCAATCATTTCAGTTTTGTGAAACCGAAGTATGGACCTATATAGTCACTATGAAAACACAATTCTTAATAATTAACCATGACCATGACAGCATATGACAGCAAACATTGAACTACCGGGAAAAGTCTGGCCTAGTGCAGGCAACTCTGGGAAAATGACGATGTCGGGTTATTGGTAATGGGCCGATGATTTCCCTATGCTGAGTAACCATCAGTTAAAAATACGATGATCGCCTTGTGATGGTGAGATATCTGGAACCAGTTGAACACCTACAAGTTTTGGCCCATTGCTGGCCAATAACCTGTTCACTACTTGTTCTTGGAACGTCTACATCAACAATCAGCTGATCATTATTATATGTGACTCTAGTGATAGCGTCTGTTTCGTTTTTCTCTGGTTTGTCGTCAAATTATTGTGCTCCTCACTTTCCCTAGTCCTTATTTATGATGGAAGGAGTATTCTCGATTGATAATATAGAAGATGGATTCTTCGATTATGATAATTTTGAGTAAGAATCAATCTCCCTATCTAGTGTTTCGAATTTCATTATGAAATGCATGTGTTTGGTATCTCATAACCTCATATACCTAGTGATCATGATAATTGGAGTGGCTCTATCTCTCCAGAAGCATTACTATCATGTTCAACACATTCGAAGCTATCAAAAGTGATTTGAGGTTATGTAAACCTGTCTTTTTCAGGAGTTAATAACAATAGGATTCCAACTAGAGAAATGACTGTGCCAAAAAAATAATGAGAATTGAAAAGCTCCATATTTCATCACGTTATACTCCAATATGGAGGAAGAATTCTGGTATCAAGAAAGGCCACTGATTACTGATGAAAAATTTTATATTTCAGAAGTACCTACCTCGCAACGAAGAATTCATTTTTTAGGAATAATGCTATCCAAATAACATGTAGATGTAGATACTAGCTGGTGAGCAGTCACTCTGAGAAGTTTCATCATGAAAGGAGAGAGAGGTTGAGAAGATATTGTGTCATTCATAATTTTTTTCCTCGAAGTCTGGTATGTTTGATATGATATGATATTTAATTCATTTAATGATTGAAGTATGTTAAGTTTGTGAATTATGTAAATCAATGTGCAGGGTTAAGAGTAGCCATGATGGCTAAACTTCGCTCTGCCATATGTTAGTATAAACACTAAAACGAATAAAGACGTATATTATATTATTATTATTATTCGAGTGCCATTCCTGCGAATCTCTGATGGGAACAGTGCATTCGGGTTAATTTCAACAGAGGTGGCTATGTCTTTATCGACTAGAGGTTCATAAAATGACGAAACCTACCTTGGTAGTAAAAATACACTTTACGTCTCGAAAATGAGTGAATAATGGTAAGTTTTATAGCTAGTGATGGACAAATTATATTCTCGAACTCTCTGTGTATTTACCTTTGGATTTTGGTGATAGATAATGTAATTGTACACTTGCACCACCGGCTGACATTCCATGAATAGTGATTGAATCGGGATTACCACCAAAATATTTGATATTGTCTTTGATCCATTTCAAAGCCAAAATTTGATCTTTCACACCATTGTTTCCTGGTACGATGTCATCTTCGGTACTCAAAAAACCTGAAAAAAAAAGTAACTACCAATTCCGGTATTTTCGAAAGTTAACTGAATATTTATTTATGCAGTTCTCAAAGAAATATAGACATATATACAGGGTGTGTGTAAATTATGGATTCAAAGAAGTGGGGTGGTATGGGGGGTAATTTCCAATCAAACTAATCGATGTGGTTATGTAATTGTTGATGGTTCGAAAGTTATCAATGTTCTTTCATTTCTATAAAAATAATTAATTACGATGAAACTATGTCACATTTGTATTTTTTTCTTACACAACTTCCATCCACATGGATGCACCTTCCCCCAGAAATAATTTGATTACATGTGTATTACTTCTCATCAATCACCTGAGAAAATTGTTATTTTCCATAAGTTTTGTCATCAAATGAAATATTTGAGTCGATTTTTAAATGCCGCTGGCATATTCAAAAACTACCCCACAAAGATAACCAATCATAAGAGGCACTTGCCCATTTTAATATAGATTCCGAAATGGTAAAACATATGGGGTTATTCAAGGCAGCCCTTTTGTTATTAATTTTTTTCAAATGGGTCGCATTCTTCAGGAAAATTGAATAGCTTTCGAATTATCAACAATTTGATAAGAACATATACCTTTGGTTTGATTACAAATAACCCCCCTACCACCCCACTTCCTCTGATCCATCACTTATGGGACACCCTGTATATACGAAATTAGGTTGTTTCTCAAATTTTGGACAAATGACATAACCTACGTCCAAGTTGTGAGGGATCTACTCATTGGTTATATTGATGGTTATAGTTGGGTTGGCGTCACTTCCATTTCAATGACAAATGATAAAGATTCTCTTCCGTACGATCCAGAAGATGAAAGAATATTACATCGAAGTTAGGTATGCATGTATCAAGAGCGTAGAATAGGCATTTATGGACCGTAGCGCGTGAGAGCCTGCCCACAAAGCAAATTTGGAAGCTATGTTGATGCAAGGTTGTAGCAATCACTGAAACGGTAGTTCATCAATATTGCAAATGTGAATTTGTAAATGTAACGTTCCAGCAATGTCACAGCAACATGTAATATTGCTGCAATGCTACATTATCAAACTTCAGCTTTGCAATATTGCTGAACGTCCGTTTTAGTAATTGCCTCAACATTGCATTAACAAAGCTTTCAACTTTGCGAGTAATTGCGAGGGTTATTAACAAGTCTAGGTACATAAATTCAAAATAAGGTTCGGAATACATACAACATTTTATGCAATACCTACCGGAGTATTTGATTTTTCATTTTGAATACCTCTTCACCTCTCTAGCACGTTGGAAATACATACCTAATGGTTGCAGTGCGCAATATCATTGATGGAATCAACGTTCTTACACGGTAACTCTGTAAATTTTTCGAAATAATAGAAGACTTTTATATGTTGTTAATTTATGACATCACAGATAACTTATTTTGTGTAGGATTATATCATTTAGCATCCCAGAAATATAAAGAGAACTGTAATATTAGATAATAAATCATCACAATAGAAACATAAATGTCTTGAATTGTACAGGAGTGCCTATTGCGAGTTACCTATACGCCAGGCGGTGAAGTAGTCACTTCACATCCGCAAAACCGGGCGGTAAAGTGCCACTTTACGTCCGCAAAACCGGGCGGTAAAGTGCTACTTTATGCCCGGTCATATATAAAAATCTTGAATGCTTCTTACCTAATGGTCCGAGGCGGTAGTTGAAGTTGACATAAACGACATCTCTATCGAGCAGTATTTGCGGACCATACGATCCCCCGTAGCTGAACATGAATGCGCCTCCATGTATGTAGACCAGTACTGGCAAGCGATTTGATTGATTGGATGCTGGGGTGTAGACGTTCACATAAAGGCAATCTTCGTCTCCTATTGAAAACAAGATTTCAAATCGAATTGTTGAGCACATAATGTGGAGTATGGACTCATTGCGAGGATAAAACATCATTTTCCGCACCTCGCCTTATATCATGAAATAAACTCCTCAACAATTGAAACATCATAGGCAGTAGACATTTTCAAGCTTTCACCCGCTGTCCTCTCTCAAAAACATATCAGGGGTATATGGAACTGTCAGTGATACCATGAGTTCTCGCGATATTATCAATAGTAATTTTGTCAGAAATCAACGAGATCCAATCGCTTCGTAAAACCATAGATCTGAATACACACTTTAGATCTATGGTAACACCATAATAGATATAGATAGATAGATATCGATTTAGTGAATTGAAATACTTTCAATTACAAACTTCAGTAGTATACAGAGGCTAATCATTTGAGTACTTGTGAAATACTAACAAATATAAAACAGGTGGAAACGAACATGAACATACTCACTGGTACTGGTACTGGTACTGGTGGGGGACGTTTCCACGTCAGCAACTAGTCCCCAATGGGACCTTTTTGCAAACCCCAAATGTTTTCAATGACTGATGTGGTTCGCTAAAGAGAGCTGGCTAACATCCTTTTCAGGCACCGCCCATCAGCTCTCTTTTCAGAGTTTTTCAGCTGTGTTTTGTAGGCTAGTAATGTACTCACTACCATATGCGCAGTGGCAGGCCTCCTAACTATCATCGTTAACCCCCGAGACCGAGGTCTACTTAAGCAGCTGGCCCGCTCTCACGCTCAGCTGGTAGTTTTCCACACCCACCTACATACACCGTCCTACTTCTTCTCTGATGCTCACAACCACATCATCATATCTTTCTGCGTGTTCTGTGTAGGCTTTGTTACTAACTCCATGCGCCACTTTAGGAGCAGCACTGTTAATTGGAACGCAACAGCGAATCGTGCAAGACCATCCCCAGCCGATGCTCCGAAACTTTACAATATTCAATTCGTAAATAAAATATTGAAAAAAGTTCCTCGCCCGTGCTGGGAATCGAACCCACGACCTTGCGGTCGTGAGACGGACGCTCTTCCACTGCGCCAATCCCGACTCGAACATACTCAAGTAGCAAGCTTTTAACGGTCGATAAAATGAAGAGATACTGTGTCACTGGGAAGGTGGGTATTCCGTGTTAATCAGTAAATTCGACACATAGGTATTCTCTTATAGAATAAAAATTGAAACTTAGTTACATCTGTTTGATTGAAGTTTCAAATTTGGTGGTATTCTGATTTTTATTATCGGGAAGTTTATTGTACAGATCGACATTTGAGGAGCTTTTGGATGAGGTTTCCAGTCGTAATATTGTTGTGTATGTTATTATATGATCAATAAATTAATGATTTATTCTCCCTCTAAACACTATACCACATCACTCCACTCCATAAATAAATGTTCTGGTGAATCTCTAAAAGAAAATGAAATAAATATATAGATAGAGATAGATAGATAGATAGATAGATAGATAGATAGATAGATAGATAGATAGATAGATAGATAGATAGATAGATAGATAGATAGATAGATAGATAGATAGATAGATAGATAGATAGATAGATAGATAGATAGATAGATAGATAGATAGATAGATAGATAGATAGATAGATAGATAGATAGATAGATAGATAGATAGATAGATAGATAGATAGATAGATAGATAGATAGATAGATAGATAGATAGATAGATAGATAGATAGATAGATAGATAGATAGATAGATAGATAGATAGATAGATAGATAGATAGATAGATAGATAGATAGATAGATAGATAGATAGATAGATAGATAGATAGTTTTATTGTGTTATAAAAAATTACATTTTCATCACAAGGGCTCGGTATGCAAACATGATTCCACATGGATCATAAGTTGAGTAACTAATGTAGGTACATTACACATTACAGAGTTATACAAGTTCCTAAGTATACCTAATAGCCACATTTTTAACAGTCATTCATTCATAATGAACGATCGTAACTTCATAATATTCATCAGGGTCTTCACAAGGTTTGCTAAGTGTAAAATATTGTGAGTATTGAGTAGAAGTACTAGACCATGAATATCGCCGATTTCCGACAGAATCGCATTTTGCCTTATGCCTGAGTAGATAGGACATTCAAATAGGATGTGATGCAAAGACTCGGTTGCTTGTAAGTTGCAAATTGAACACATCTCAGTTGTGTCTATGTGGTAAAAGGAACCGTGAAACGAAAACATCAACGACTTTTTGCTGGAAGTTCTGATTTGAGCAATAATGCGTGTTATATAAATTTGTGAGGGAATACTCAAGTAGGATTTTGAAGGTTCGGAAACTGTTAAGCCATTGTATAGGAGTGAGTACGAAGTCTCTCAGAGTCGAACAAAATTAGCTTTTCCTTGAATTCGTCCAGAATATCATTCATGAGCTTTTTCGAGTTATAGTTCAGAAAGCGCTGCCATAAGTTTTCACAATCGGCAAATATAAAGTATTCTTTCACCTGCGAAAGCCAATTAAATCTAATGACATTTTTCTCTAAATCAAGTAGACGTACATAGCAAATTTTGGAAAGTCTGTTGTTTTCCATGGTTTTCAATTTGTTGAGCCAAGATAACGAAGATTTAATAAATAAATATATACAGGGTGTTTCCTAACTACAGTTCCTAACTGCAGGGGGTTATTTGTTAGGTCATTATAAGAAGGAAAGTTCCTATGACTATATGTCCGAAGTTGCTTCGTTTCTGAGATACAGGGCGTTGGAATTAAAGAAAAAAAACGGTAATTATAAAATATCATGAATATCCTGGAACCGATTTGGTTGAAATTTCGTACTTTTATTTGTCAAATTTTCTGAAATTTCAGCATATCAAGTGTCAATTAAATTTTTGGCGGAAACTGGGGCGGAAATAATGAAAAACTCATTTCTCCAATGAAGGTGTTCATGATATACAATACAGTGGCTTTGTTTTTTTTTCTCGAAAACGAAGCTGGATATGAAGAAAGTGCAGGAGACCAAAAAGTTGTATTTTGAGTTGCTCAATCTAAACAAGATAAAAATTCACCAAAAAAAGTCAGTGGCGTACTTTTTTTTCACAATATTGTTGGCTGGGGTGCCCACTGAGACGCCACTGGCCCCAATAATTTCAATCTAAATAGGGCTAAATAAGCGCCTTATTAGTTCAAATGAGAGTACCAAATGTTAACCAAATCGGTTCTAGGATATTCATGATATTTTATAATTACCGTTTTTTTCTTGAACTTCTACGCCCTGTATCTCAGAAACGAAGCAACTCTGGACATATGTTAATGGGAACTTTTCTTCCTAAAATGACCTAATGAATCACCACCTGCAGTTAGGAACCGTAGTTAGGAAACACCCTGTATAAAGCTGGTAATGTCATAACATTCAATTTCGAAAATATCTGTCTACATGCATCCCTGGGTCCTGCCGTTACCCCAGATTATATCGGGGGTAACGGTCCTGCACCATCAATTATTTTGACGGCCTCTTTTGGGGGATAAATATCCGTTTAGCCTGTGAGGAGTTGCCCCACAAGGTTATTCCGTAGACCAGATGTGCATTTAAAAGTGATAAATACGACATTCTGTTGGCCATTGAGCTGAATGATTTCTTTAAAGTTCTCAATAAAAAAATTTGAGTGGAAAGTGTTTTACTAAGATAATCAATATGGTCGTGCCATTTGAGTTTACTGTCGAGGGTGACATCTTTATTCATAGAAAAGACAACTGGTCAGTACTGTCAGGCATTTTCTGATATTCCTCCTCGAAAATAATGACAATTCAGTAAAGTCACACTAACGTTTGATAGAATATGTCTGCTGTCACTTTTATTGATGAAAAATCAGCAGATTCAGTACTGTAGTTGAATTCGGAATAGAGCCATAACCTGAGATTATCAATCGTTAGTTTTACTTGTTGAAGAAATGAGTTCAGCTTTATTCGAGTGCTCATATTAAACGAAGATACATAATATGGGATTAAGGAGAAACATACCTGATACCATATCTTCGTTTGGTGGAGTGTAATGATTGTATTGCATACATTTGAACATTGTTTTTGCCTTCATTATTCCAGTCCATGGTTCTGGAGGTACAGCTTCCTGAAAGTGGATTGATAAGAGATCATAAAAATATATCATGTGTCCACTCAATCATGAAAAGTCAAGAATCTACGTAATTTGTTCTAAGGATAATGAAAAAACTCATAAAAACTAGGTTCATAGAGCACCTCGTACCATTGAAATTTGGTAGATTAGATAAATCGGGTGTAGCTTTGACGAAAAATTTGACGAAATTGAAGAAACCAGGAAATCATTGTACTCGTGCCAAATTTTCGTATATAGATGTCTGCAGTAGGCTGTGTAGTGTCCGCTGTAGGTGGTACCGCTGTGGTTTGAGATAGCGTACAGATTGTAAGGACATGGTACGATATCTTCAGCTGCATAGGGGCTCATGTCAAAGCCGATCAAGGGGAAGTCGAAAAATGTGTTTAGTTTCTCACTGAACTCTACAGTCTGCGAGAAACGTTTCAGATGTATAACTAAAATTTTTGGCAACTTGTGGATGAATAATTACCTACTTCAAACATTTTCTTTTCTCTTTACACGTCGAGCAAGTTGATTCTCCTCGCCGTCTAAAATCTCAACACTCGTAAACGAGTCCAAGCAATGAGACAAGCTGAGTTGGCCTGATCGCTGTGGTATCGGTAAAGACAACTCCCGAAATGAGTCAAATGTCTCCGAACAATTGCCACATACATTTAAAGATTGCATAATATTTCTGCACGCTCTGCATTAATTTTACGAAATAAGTATTGAATGTACATATTGGTACTAATGATATGTATAAATCAAAAAAGACGATACTTTATCTGATTCAGATCATAAATGCTGGTGTTCCGCAAGGATCAATTCTAGCACCAACACTATTTCTACTCCATATCAACGATTGTTGGAAGCAACTTCATGTCCAGTACACAGCTTCGCGGATGATAGTACCCTCCATACCGCCTCCTCTTCCAGGGCTCCAATACCAGCCAGTCAAATCAGAAACGAACGAGGGAGAAATGTTGACATCTTAAATATGGACTTGACAACAATTCTCGAATGGGGATCCAATAACTTGTTAGACTTCAATGCAAACAAAACACAAGCATGCCTTTTCTCTAGAAAAGCCGATCTCACTGTGCCCAACATAAGTTTGTCAGGAGAAACCATACCTTTGAAGACATCGTGCTTGAAATTTTTTTAAATACGAGAAAATATTCCTTACACACATCTATTCGAATTTCCTCTGCCAAATTCGCATTTGCAGTTTTCTGTCTCCTGTTATGAGCCAATAGCGGGAAGATTGAATCATCCTCTAGATATAGATGAGCAAATTCAATTATTATCTTACCTCGAATCTGTATTGCCCTACCGGAGGTCGACCATAGGGAATACCTTCGAACGCTTGGTACCTTCTGCCCTTCACTGTTTCACCTGTGAACCCTTCTATGGTTCCCATGGGAGTTTTGACCAATGGCACCGAAGTAGCACTCACTGAAACCATCAAATTTTGAGTGATGCATAGGCAAGCAAAACCAAAAAATGAAGTGCATACACCCAAAAATTAAATATAGGTAGAGTAAGTATACCTTGTGTTTGTGTAAATTGAAATACTGGGTGATAACTAACTATTATAGTCAAATGGTTAATAGGGGAAATCAAGATGGGTTGATATACAGGGTGTATCTAAATAACACCGAAAAAATTCGAGGGGTGATTTCTTGTGATGTTTAAGAAAATGAAGTTCATGTAAACATCTTCGTTTTCGAGATACAGGGTATTGATATTTCCATGAAAAATCGTTTTTTTATTCATTACTCAGTTTTCTTTTCATAAATTTCAATGGAACGTGGTGGTTTTTTCAATAGTAATATGAGGCTTCTTCTGGTGCAATTAGATTCGAAATAATATCTCCAGTGGCGTCACAGTGGGTGAATTTATCGATATTTATGTCATTGTACGCCACCGGTTTTGTCAGAGTTTTATATCTTCATCAGATTGAACTATTGAAATAACAACCCTCTAGCAGTTGAATTGGTGGTGGAAAAATTCCACTCAAGTATGTCAGGTAGTGCCATCTGTCAGCAGAGTGGTTTACTTGTAGTACCACTCTGTAGCGTATAGACGTAGGGGTCTGTACGTGTGACTATAGATGGCAGCGCCATACAGTGTGTGTCGCGATTTCTGTATCCTACCTTAGAGCTTTGCCACTAGATGGCTACAACATGACTATAACTTCATGTTATACCCTGCAACAACTCTCTCATCCTTTGTGTAATTCTTGTATTTAGCTTGATTTTTGAGGAAACAGTACAAATTCGATTTGACTCAAAATTTTAATGTAGGCCGGTAGGCATGTTTTCAAGACTTTCATTGAGTCCACTCAATAACCCCAATTAGAATCATTTTCAAATTTTGGGACTTTCTCAGTCTCCAACCATACTGAATTTTGGCACCATGAAAGCTTATACAGGGGGGTTATTTAGATACACCCTGTATATGAAAATTTTCTTGGCCTTTCATAACCATGATGTGAAATTTTCGAGGAAGGTGTTCCCCGAGGCATATAACCTCCAGAAATTCAAGAAGAACACCAATTTCTACCTTATTTCCCTTGGTTCTCAAGATGTTCTCTGAACATCACAGGATATCCCTTTTTGTGGGAACCAGAACATAGAAAAAAATATAACTTCGATGGCTGATATCTCAGAAATGCATGTTTCATCGTCGTGATTGGCTGAAATTTGGCAGCGACCTTTCTCTATTCCAACTATTCAACGTATCGGGAAACAAAAATACAGATCCGGACCTGGGAAAATTCATTTTTTATTTTTATGCCAAAAAGTTCACTTTGTGATCAGTTTTCTCGAAAAATTCCATCAGATTCAGGAAGATAAGACAAAATGTCATAAGGACTGCTCTATAATTTGCACAGGACACTTTGAACGATTCAATGAAAAAATATGGAACAAGAACGTTTGAATGAATTGTATATTTCGACCTGGCTGATAACTCTGATAACAGTTGCATAGTATTATGTATTAGGTTCTCAATTTCGATTCCCTTCGAATTATTTTATAGGTTAGCAAATCTAATTTTCGGAAATATGAAATCTTGTCGAAGAGAGGAATTATGAGTTCGTAGAAAAAGTATAGTATGCAAGGCATTTATAAACTCTTCTAGACACTCGTTTATCAAACTCGCTCCGCTCTGCTACGCTCGTGCTAAAATGACATTTATAACACTTTTTTCATGTTCTGGTTCCCACGAAAAGGGATATCCTGTAATGTTCAGAGAACATCGTGAGAACCGAGGGAAATAAGGAAGGAATTGGTGTTCTTCTTAAATTTCTGGAGGTTATATGCCTCAGGGAACACCTCCCTTGGCAAAGTGTTCCAGAGCCTCGCTGCTCGTTGGATGAACGAACGAAAGAGATGCTCTGCAGGTCTCTAAAGTGACCACGAAGGGGTGCGAAGCCTCAACACGACGGGTTAATCACGCGGGGACTGCAAAGGGAGGAA